GTGCGTGCATGTGTGCACTTTCCACTTTCAGAATTCCACCAAGCTGTCATCACAGCACACGAGAGGTAGGTCTGTTTGGGGTTGTGCGTGTGTGTGTACGTGCGTGTGTGTGCGTGCGTGTGTGTGTGCATGTGCGTGTGTGAACTGGTGTGTCCTGTTCTGCAATGAATTGCGGTGCGGGCAAAGTCTGACAATAGAGTGTTTCGCATCTATCACGTGACCATACGGGACAGCCATGTTGGTTCCGACTGGCACTGGTACTCAAACTCTCAACCCCTGCATCTATGGGTCACATGACTTCAGCCATGTTGATTTCACTGTCCACATGACATGATTGCTTTCTGCACGAATAGACAGTGAAACCTATTTAAACCGACTGCTCCGACTGCTCAAGGGACCTTCAAAGTGTGGCCCCCATGTACACGATCAGTGGTCTTTTTATCCAGGGTTGTTTGACCGGAAATAACATCCATTGGTCGTTGTTTTAGGGGCCATCCGTAAATATAGATATTTATTTAGATACGAAAACTAGACGTTTAGGGGGAGGGGGTTGAGCGCCTGTTCGTTTCTCGAAAAATATCGATGTACATTTTGCCCGCGTGAGCATGTCCAGAAAAAAAGATCAAAAATATCTATACCATGTACCATTTGTACACGTTCGTTTCTCAGGGAGGAGGGAGGGGGGTTGAAGAGAAACGACTAGTTTTCGTTTCTAAATAAATATCGGTATTTACGGAAGGCCCTTTAGTGGTCCATTTTGGCAGGTGATCACCTTATCAGAGTGTTCGCCTCGATAGGTATGACTGTAGTCACGTGACCAAGGTATGAAACCACTCTATTTCATTGAGCAGCAGTGTATGTACAATGGTGTGTGCCTTCTGTGTGCATGTATCTTTCTCATCTGTCTGACTGGTTTTCTGTCTGTTCATGCTGTCTGTCCGTCTGTCTGTCGCTGGACTTGCCGATGTGTGTGTGTGTGTGTCCACGTGTATTGTTTACACCGCAGCCACATCACTGTCACATGAAAGACTGTCCACGCTGTCGTCAGCAATGCACCCTACCACTGCCTGGCTGCAAGCATACCTGCCCTCTACCTTGCCATGCTCATATCAGAGAGAAGTCGGAAACCAAGGTACCGTCTCTTGCCATCGTTGCCATGGTGTTTGTTTTGAATTGTATCCCTGTGTATTGTGTGTTGTACAACGGATACTTGAATGGAAGTCTTGTTCTGCTGATGCTGTGTAGGGTGTTCTGGTGGTGAGGGAGCTGCTGCTGCTGCCGCTTCTTCTGCTGATGCTGCTTCTTCTTCTGATGCTGCTACTGCTTCTTCTGCTGCTGCTGCTGCTGCTGCTGCTGCTACTTCTTCTTCTTCTGCTGCTGCTGCTGCTGCTGCTGCTGCTGCTGCCACTTCTTCTTCTTCTGCTGCTGCTGCTGCTGCTACTGCTACTTCTTCTGCTGCTGCTGCTTCTTCTTCTTCTGCTGCTGCTGCTGCTGCTGCTGCTGCTGCTACTGCTGCTGCTGCTACTGCTGCTGCTACTGCTTCTTCTTCTGCTGCTGCTGCTGCTGCTGCTGCTACTGCTTCTTCTGCTGCTGCTGCTGCTGCTGCTACTGCTGCTGCTACTGCTGCTGCTACTGCTTCTTCTGCTGCTGCTGCTGCTGCTACTGCTTCTTCTGCTGCTGCTATGGATGATGCTGCTGCTATTGCTTCTGAAGTGTTGGTGTGTATGTTTGTGTGTGTGCGTGTGCATGTGTGTGTGTGTGTGTGTGCGTGTCACACAGGCATCGTTGGCACCTTGGGAGCAAGCAGCGCGCAGTCAGCAACAGGACAGGTCTCGCCCTGCTCCATGCCCACCGTGCACCGCACCTGTCGTCAAGTTAGTCAGCATTGCGTGTTATTAGAGAGGTTGAGATGCACGTTATTTCCGACTTGACGCGCCATTTCAACACAAATTTGGCGTAAAACTCCAAATTTCGATGTGAGCTGCAGGTCACTCGCGTTGTTTTTCGACTCACGAGCCAAATAATGCGAGCTGAACTTTCGCGTCACGTCAGAAATAACGTGCATCTTAGCCTCTCTATTACAAGTCAAACCTTGCTGCTTTCCCGCAAACAAAAACTTCACGAATTTTTGTACTCGCGTTCAAAGGAGGTACTGTCCTCGATAAATTTGTTTCATTGAGCAGGTGTGTACGCTGATCCCAGTACATGGAAACCACGGACCAAGCACAATGAGCTCGGATGTTGAGCCAAAGTAATCATGGATAAAAAGAAAGGACGACATGTTACGAGGTGTCAGGTCCTTGAATGTCTCAGTACTCCTTGTCAGTTTTGTGCCATTTTGTCGCACTCACTCCATGTCTGTTTTGTGCCACTTTGTTGCACTCGCTAACTGTACATGATCTGGTTACGTTGGTGGACTGTTAGTCATATAACTCGTGACATGTTGTCCTTTCTTTTTATCCAAGCACAATGAATTTGAAATACAGTGGAACCTGCCTTAGACGACCGCTCAAGGGACCTTCAAAGCGTGGTCTCTGTAACCAGGTGGTCTCCTTACCCAGGGTCATTTGACTGGAAATAGCATCCCTCGGTGCTGGTTACAGTGGTCTTCTAGGGCAGGTGGTCGCCTTATCCGAGTGGTCGCCTTGACAAGTCTTACTGTTGTATTAATGTGATAAGAGGAGTGCAATGAGTAATGGGTGTGAGCAGGTTAATGGAAGGGTAAGGAGGTCGGCTAGAGAGCGCATGTGTTGGAGTTCAAACTAAACAATGAGAGTGGTGTTTACAATATACAGTGGAACCTGTCTAAGACGACCGCTCAAGGGACCTTCAAAACGTGGTCTCCTTATCCAGGGTCGTTTGACTGGAAATGGCATCCCTTGGTCCTGGTTTGAGTGGTCTTCTAGGACAGGTGTTCACCTTATCCGAGTGGTCACCTTGACAGTTTTACTGTATCACTGATGTTTCTATGCTTGCCCAACCTGTCCGCCCTCGGCCACGGCATCCTCATTTGGTTTCTCTCTCTCTCTCTCTCTCTCTCTCTCTCTCTCTCTCTCTCTCTCTCTCTCTCTCTCTCTCTCTCTCTCTCTCTCCGTGTCTCCCTTTGGTTTCATTTCGCTGGCAGATCTTGCTTTGGCGGTCACGAGACGGCGTCGCAGCCTTGCAGCAAGGAGCGTGACTACTCCTGCGCCCGATCGTGTGGACGATCGTTGCCGTGCGGCAATCATGTATGTCAGAAACTGTGTCACAAGAACTCCGGCGATAGCACCACCAATAAGGTGAGAGAACATCAAGGAGCCATCCGGCATTATCGGTAGTTTTCACGGAACGAGAAAGTGTAGTTATGACCCTCCACCATCCATCCATCCGCTGAACGAGAAGATATTGACTTGACAGCTAGAATGGATTGCTGACTTCCTAAGCAAGCCGTTTTGCACTGCGTATGTATGTGTGTGCGTGCACGTGTGTGTGTGTGTGTGTGTGCGTGTGCGTGCACGTGTGTGTGTGTGCTGGCGCGTGTGCGTGCGTATGTTATTTTGTTTCCCTTCACCAGCCCGGCCGTGCATGTCAGCAGTGCGAGGAAGTTTGCTTGAAACCGCGTCCACCCGGCTGTCAGCACGAGTGTCCACAGAGATGTCACCCAGGTGAGTCAGAGAGACGGTTGTGTGTGTAAAATTTAAAAAAAAATGGAAAAAGTGAAAAAATGAAATAATTATAGTGATTCACTGGCCGGAGAAAGCTACTTCAATCAGCTGTGTGGTGGATACCAGGCTAAAATTAGTGGCGGTCAATAGGCCGTATGCATTCAAACCGCGCGGAAAAAGTCTGCGGGGACACTTTTTTTGTCGCGCCCACGTGTAGTGATTATTTGTACTGTAGAAGTATTGCTGTGGGTGGGAAGAGAGTAGATTGTTTCCTTTGTAGCTGGAAGGTCGTTCTTCATCGCCTTGTTTCTGGCAGTTTCAGAAAGGATGCCTGGTCATGCCAGCTGCATTGTGCCGTTATGCCCCAACAGGAAAGATCGATGCAAGTGGGGTTTGGTTGAGAGTGACGAGAAGAGATCTGGACGAAAGTTCTACGTAAAGAGAAATTGTGCCAGTCAACTTTAGCTAGGAAAGGCTGCGACAACTGCGATCCAGCTTGTAAATCCTTGTCCTTCCATCGCCTCCCGGCCGACTCGGAGCTGAGGAAGAAATGGTTGCAGGCGAAACCAAGGCGAACATGCAGCCAACACCAAATTCATACGTGTTTTCCGGTCTCGAGTGTTGTAATACCAGCAATGATGAGGCTGCCGTGGGTGCCAGTCTTTACTTCTACTTCTACTGTGTGTTCAAGCTTTCCATGTGTAGCCATGCACTGCATGTCCTTGCACTGTCAGGCTGCATAGATGTACCGGTGACAGGATGTGGATACATCTGCATAGTCTCACAATGTGTGTGTACTAAATTTGTAATGCGATCAAGTCCCGCTATGGTATATATGTGAAGTTCAGACGAGCTCTGCACACTCATGCACACACACACACACCTCAGACCTCAGACATGCCCATCGCGGAAGCGATGATAGCAAACAGCTATGTTAGACATAGCAACTTGTGCTGAGATTACACCATTCAACAGCTTGCAAGGCTGATGAATTGACCGCCACTATTTTTAGCCTGGTATCCACCACACAGCTGTTTGCAGTGACTTTTTCTGGCCAGTGAATCCCTATTTTTCATTTTTTCCATTTTTTTTCTTTTTCTTTTTCTACACACACACACCACACCACATACTCCGGCATACACTGGCTGTTGGTAACCACCCAGGAGAATGAAAGAAAAGTCAGGAAGAGTCCGAGAAAGAGAAGAAAGACGTGTGCGACCATAATCGTCGGGAATTGAACCCGCAACCTCTCGATTGGAAATCGACTGCACATACCACTGCACCATATGGGACACACACACACACACACACACACACACACACACACACACACACACACACACACACACACACACACACACACACACACACACACGCATGTCCACCATCAAACGGATTACACGGGAGTTGAATACCGCACATACCCAAAATATCCGAGGCAAATAGGAATCAGTGCGATGTCATTCCTCGCTGGTACTTCCTGACCAGTTCTGGCAAGACATGTTCAAAGTAGAAATCACGCATAACAGTCAACGTGCTAGATATGAAATCATTATTAGGTACGATCCGCTCCACATGCAGCTCAGTTGGTGACCACACGACAAAGTCACAATAGTCTGCCCCACTGGCAAAGAGTTGCATCTGGACTTGGGTGAAGTACTGATGTCCTTGACGAAGACGCCAGGCAGACTCTACCTTCTCAATACAAAACTGACTCTTCTTCTCTGCGCCAACATCATCAAAACACCTATCCTTACACAGGAATGGGCATTTCACTTCCACAATGCCATTGGCGCCGACAACCAGAGCATCTGGAGTTGCAGCAAACCAAGGCTCTGTGACACTGATGAACATGCCCGTTGGTTCGGTCACTTGATCTTTGCTGCAAAACACAAGATAGAAACAAAACACAGTTTCATAGAGATTCTTAGTATTATCTTATCCCCATGATCTTGAAATCACCATAAGGAAAATAGGGAGTGAAAACACAGGCAAAGCGACAACCGCAAAAGCACACAGCGTAAAAAATATACGGCATAACATTCCCGGGACTAGCCACAAACAGTTGCCGTTGAACTGAACTTTACAATAAATAATCATAGGAATAAACAACCCAACAAAGCATTCATTCCGATAGCTTACTGGACGTGGCTATGAGAAGACTTTGCTATCCGAATACGTACCGCTTTTGGTAAGCTTCGACGCCATCCTTTTCATGCTCGTTGCCGTACTTCGTGGCTTCCGAATAGAAGTGCTTACGAGCTGTCACTAGCCTGATCATGTTGTGAACACTGCTGGTTGACCTACGGTGTGAAATGGTATGGCTGATAGAGGCTGTGATGCGCTTTGCACGTTCCACAAACCATGTCTTGCTTAGTGTCTGGCACGCTGTGCGCATTCGCATCCCTTCCGCATCTTGCTTGGTGACGACGACATTCATCTCGTACCTGAGGTGAAAACCAAAATAGGAAAAAGAGAGAAAGTGGCGAAAACAAATCTGAGAAGAGATTCTATCAATCACGGAGGATACTTAAGCCCATTACACCAGGTGTAAGACAAGTACAGAATGTATATGAGCAACATTTGCGTAAAAAGCCATGAAATGTGCAAAGAGAGCTGTTTGGAATGCTTATCTCGCACAAGATAACATACCAGGATCTCAAGGCTGGACTGATCTCAATGTCACTGCCTCCAGCTGCTCCACTCACTGGCTCATCCATTGATTCTTCCATGGGCTCATCCATACCTGGCGTGGAAGAAGCAGCTGTAGTAGTGGTAGCTGTAGCAGCGGCAGTAACAGTAGCTGTGGTCGTGGATGCACTTGAATGTTGTTCCTGAAAGTAGGGGTGAAACGAATATTGTAAATCGGAACGAATCGAAAATTTTTCTAGACGAATGGAATATCGAATACTCTATACCAAAAAATTGGCAAGTCCACGGCCGTAGTAGACCAAGTATATAGTGGAGTCATATTTACTACTCTTAGGAGTCATAGTCCCCTTTCTCAACATATCTATGACACATGTACATATCACCCCATCCATTCTAGAACTACTACCATAGATCGACACTTGAGCAGCGTGTGCGCATGTGTCAGAACGCCCATTCAACCGCAGAATAACAATCGAACATTAGAATATTCCTTGCAACCCTACCTGAAAGGATGCGTGCTGTGCCTTTGCTCGAGCAAGTCTCTCAGTGCGCTGGGCCTCCTGGACAGCATCATCGCCAGCGACCGTCAGCAAGCCAGGTATGTATTTCCTGACAAGCATCTCGTTGGTGAGGGTAGATGCAGCCCGTGCCGTGTGGAGCCACGATCTTGAGGTGCACGGGGATCCAGCTTTGCAATGTCTGCAGGGGTTTGCTTCGTTTTCAACCTTTTGGCTTGCCCAGCAGTTTTCAGAAGAGGCTTGCTCCAGTCCAGCTCCACAGCCTGTTTTGGTTCAGATTTTTTCGTGTGCGGCTTATTCCACGATTGTAACGTGTCTGTCACCGTTACAAATTCCCTTGTGAAGCCCAGCTCACAAAACTCCACAAGGGCATAAAGCAACGCTGCAATGTGCTTGCAGCTTGCATGAGGCGCTTTGCCGGCAGGGCACGGGTAACACTCGGCAAACGGAATGTCCTTCACAGGTCTCTCCTCTCCCTCACCAACAACACAAAGGAGCTTCAGCTTATACGGCTTGGCTGACCGCATTTCAGGCTGCTCGAATATAGACGTCAGATTTGTCATCCAGCGCCACAATCTCTATCTTCTGCACATCTATACGCTTGAACAGTCTCAGTGATTTGCTGTCGCTGCCATCAAGGCCCAGCGCCTTGAAGTTAGCTGTTGGCTGGCCATCCACAGTTACCTTATCGACGAAAAACTTGATGAGGGTACCAAGGGAGAAAGCAGGGCAGCTGGATCTGGCAGATTGAACAGTTTTCCAACCAGCAGAAGGGAACTCGGACAGCGGTGTCTGGGAAGGTTGAGACGCACTAGTCGCAGCTTCAGAGCTCGAACTAGCTGCTGAAGCACTGCTCAAACCAGAGTCAGGGGGAGCTGAAAGCAAGCCAGTCCCTGCAGAACTCGAGCTGCCCGTTTGCTTTTCGATGTGCTCTTGGACTCTGCAGATCAGAAGGAAGTAGTCATCAAAGGAGGAGACGGAAATATTATAAACAAAATTAATGCACTGGGCAAAAAAATCAAAACCATTTGAAAAGTTTTGGAGAGAAAATAATGACTTGCCGCTTCAGGACATCGGCTTTCTTTCCGCTTTTTTTCAGGCCATTGCTACTGCAGAAACCCTGCAGGACGCCTAATGTCCACTTGCTGGGGTCAGATGACAGTGACATAGTCAAGAGCTTAGTATAGAACTCGAGAGACCACTCGAACCTCTTCTTGACAGCACTAAAAAACACTGGCTGTCCTGCATGAAAAACAGCAGCGCTGAGGCCACTCAAAAAAGTGTCCCCCGCAGAGGGGTCACGTGCATACGCCATTTTGCGGCGGCCATTTTGCTTGCATACGGCCTATTCATCAGCCTTGCAAGCTGTTGAATCGTGTAATCCCAGCACAAGTTGCTATGTCTAACATAGCTGTTCGCTATCATCGCTTCCGCGATGGGCATGTCCGAGTGTGTGTGTGTGTGTGTGTGTGTGTGTGTGTTTGTGTACATGTGTGTGTGTGTACTTGTGTGTGTGTGTGTGTGAGAGTGTACACGTGTGTATGTGCATGCGAGCGACTTGTGGGGGGGGGGGGGGGGGGGGGGCAGACATTTCACGTAACGAGAAGCAGAGGAGCACCACTCTTTATAGAGAATCAGTTCCCTATGGGATGATGTTTGTCAGTGTTTGTTCAGCTATTAACAACTCAGGCACTGCATTAAGCACTGACAGTACTGAGAATAGAAGGGCACCGAACATTTGTGAACTTATAGCTCTCGTTTCAGTCCTGACGATATCTCCCTTGATAATGAACCCTAGTCGGTGTGGAGTGAACGTGGCAGATGTTTTTGTTCTTGTCGTTTCCGCTTTGTCCTGCGTACAGGCGCATGTCCGCCGTGCAAGAAGCTGATCAACCTTCGCTGCCACTGCGGAGCGCTGCCACTCGTCATACCTTGCCCGTACGTATACTGGTGGTGATGGTGGTGTGCTCTTGTGTGTGTGTGTGCGTGTGTGTGTGTGTGTGTATGTGTTATACCTTGTCTGTGTGTGTGCCGGTGATGTGGTCTTGTGCAGTCCACACGCCCTTGTGATAAACCGTATACTCTAATTTCAGAAATTTTAGGTGCTCAATATTTTCAGTTAAACTTCACTTCTCAACTCCAAAAACGGTATTTTCGGTATGAGGGCAAATAGCCAGGTTAGGTGAACAGAAATTTTCGGTACAGAGAAGCAGTTCCCTATTGGATTACATGTGTTAAAGGGGAAGTTAAGGCAAAAATTAAAATTTCACCAGTTGTAGTCTTCGGGGTGCTGAGTCGAATGGTCTTGGTCCGAGAAAGCTGAGACGCTCCCTTCCTACTTGAATCCCAATCGAACTCGCGCACTTCCACCGAAACTGGGTGACTGCGCCCTACGAGATGGGGATTTGTATGCAAAATGTCACTAAAAGCGCCATTTCGTTCTTATAAAAGCACGGATGACCGCGATTGGCCCATATGTTGTAGTCCTTTGGACGCTGAGTCGACTGGTTTTGGTCCGAAAAGGCTGCGATGCAGCGTTCCTCCTTTATTCCCAATCGAACATGGTTGAAGAAGCGGTCACGTGCTCCTGGGTGCCAAAATCACCTGGTCACCACGCCAGCAGGCGACAACTTTCACACCAAGGTTCAACTCGAGTGACAGGACTGCACCCAAAAAAGGTCAAAACAGGCTGTAAGTTGTACCCTGCAGGCACGGTGACCAGGTGACTGGTGTACGCAGGAGCACGTGACCGCTTGTTCAACCATGTTCGATTGGGAATTAGGGGCGAACGCTGCATCGCAGCCTTTTCGGACCAAAACCAGTCGACTCAGCGTCCAAAAGACTACAACATATGGGCCAATCGCGGTCATCCGTGCTTTTATAAGAACGAAATGGCGCTTTTAGTGACATTTTGCATACAAATCCCCATCTCGTAGGGCGCAGTCACCCAGTTTCGGTGGAAGTGCGCGAGTTCGATTGGGATTCAAGTAGGAAGGGAGCGTCTCAGCTTCCTCGGACCACGACCATTCGACTCAGCACCCCGAAGACTACAACTGGTGAAATTTTAATTTTTGCCTTAACTTCCCCTTTAATGTGTAAGTGGCTGCGTTGGAGTTTGCGGACAATTAGAAAAAATAAAAATATTTTCGGCATGAGGGCAAAAGGCCAGGTTAAGTGAACAGAAATTTTCGGTACAGAGAAGCTGTTCCCTATTGGAATATGTGTGTTAGTGTTTGTTCGGTGTATTGACATTTTAGGTATGAATCAGATGCACCGAAAGTACTGAAAACAAAAGTATCCCGAAATCTGTGAACTTACAGTATGTGCACAATCACGCGATATGCTGTCTGGCAGTCTCTGCTATTGAACATATTCAGCTATCCAACATTTATCATTTCCAAAGTGGTCCCATACGTGGCATAAGACTGTACATGGTGCTCGTCTGCGCTATGTCTGTATGTCCAAGCATGTGTGCGTGCGTGTGTGTGTGCGTGCGTGTGTGTTTGTGTGGGTTCACGTGTATGTTTGTGTGCATGTGTGCGTTCGTGGCCATGCGTGTGTGTATTGCAGGGAGTATGCCAGCTGCTCAGATCGTAACGCGCTGCGCTGCTGTTCGGACCAGTGCCCTAAAACAGTGAGTGCCTCTGTGTCTGGATATAATCACACTACGGCTCCACTTCGCCAGCAGTCTTCTGTCAGAAAATATTACCATCCGTGCTATGTTGTTTGTTCGTGTACATTTGGAATCCCATGCGCTCTATTGTGATACCCAGCATCTTCAAAATTGTATGACGTCTGGAGTGCTTGGAGTACAGTCGTGGCCAGGGCAAATTGATGTTAGTTCGGCATTTAAGTTAGTAAAATGGCAATAAATAAGATAAATTGTGCACTCATAACAACAGCAAAAATGAAGAAAGTCAAGTTCCATGACGTTTTCTTGTGACTGTCATCAGTGGAACGCCGTCACATAAAAATGTAATAACTAAAACACACACTTATATACATGTAGCTAATATGGTTTCAGGTAGAAATACAGCAGCCAGCAAGTACAAAAAGTGAAGTTTGCACCTTTGCAATGTGTGAATATAGTGTATGTGAGAAAGGTAGTGGCAGATGAATGTGATACTGTGTGAATGAATGTAATGGTGCGTGTGTGTTACTTGAAGAGTGTGAATGATACGTTTTCTTTCTTTATCACACACATTCATCTGCCACTACCTTTCTCACATACACTATTTACACATTGCAAAGGTGCAAACTTCGCTTTTTGTACTTTCTGGCTGCTGTATTTCTACCTGAAACCATTATTAGCTTCATGTATATAAGTGTGTGTTTTAGTTATTGCATTTTTATGTGACGGCGTTCCACTGATGACAGTCACAAGAAAACGTCATGGAACTTAGCTTTCTTCATTTTTTGCTGTTGTTATGAGTGCACAATTTATCTTATTTATTGCCATTTTACGACTATTGTCTCCTCGTCGATTGTTAAAATATTTAAGTTAGTGCTAAAACTTCTCGGACGGAAGAGACTGATTTCTGCTTATACAATATTTACCTCTCTGTCTCTGTCTCTGTCTGTTTCTCTCTGCCTTTCTGTCTCTGTCTCTCTCTCTGTCTCTGTCTCTGTCTGCCTGTCGCTCTCTCTCTCTCTCTCTCTCTCTCTCTCTCTCTCTCTCTCTCTCTCTCTCTCTCTCTCTCTCTCTCTCTCTCTCTCTCTCTCTCTCTCTCTCTCTCTCTTCTCTCTCTCTCTCTCTCTCTCTCTCTCTCTCTCTCTCTCTCTCTCTCTCTCTCTCTCTCTCTCTCTCTCTCCGTCTCTCTCTCTCTCTCTCTCTCTCTCTCACACACACACACACACACACACACACACACACACACACACACACACACACACACACACACACACACACACACACACACACACACACACACACACACAAACACTCACAAACACTCACACACTCTCTCTCTCTCTCTCTCTCTCTCTCTCTCCCGCTCTCGTTCTCTTTTGTCCATGCTTGGTGCAGATCGCGTGTGGTCACCGCTGTCGGTTGACTTGCCACTCTGGCGCGTGCTCTGCACCCAGCGAGTGTGCCAGCCGTGTCACCAAGCGCTGTGCGTGCAAGCGACAGAGTGCCAAGGTGAAGTGCTGTGAGGCCAGTACCGTTCAGCTGGACTGCAACGATGAGTGCCGGCAAACTAAGCTGGAGAAGCAGAAGGTACGACCACGTCCGAATACGAGTTTAACTTCAACACACACGTGCTCGGTTAACCGATTAAACTTGGCAAAGGGGCAGGAGAGTTCTGGGAACTCTGTCGTTCTTCCGGCACACTGCAACAATGTTTCGCCCTGGCATTTGCTTGTCTGTTTGAAACTGTCATCTGTAGCAATACTCTGCCTCTCGGGCCTTGATTGGTTCCGCATGCATTTTAGAAAGCTTTAAAACTTGTTGCTGGTGAGACGCCTGAAACTTCTCTATATGTTGATTTAATAACCGCAAACAATAAGACAAGCTTAACCCCTTTAGCGAGCGTCGTACTACATAGCACGCCGCACATGAGCTGCATGCCCCACGGCCGTCGTACTAGTACGACGCGCGCTGTACCCTGTACAGTGAACCTGCATCTCATAGTCGTGGGGTCCGTGTTGAGTCCATAGTGACTTGTTCAAACTATCGTAACTCACTCAATACTTGGTCGATTCTCACAATCGAAACATGTATCTGCAAGAGAAAACTCTCAGCTGGCGATAGAAACAATCGCTGAAGCGATAATACTACCGGTTGTTGAGATATGCGAATCGACACGGCAAATTTCAACTCGATTTTTGCGCCGTCTGCAGAACGCGTATTTTCCATCATGGATCATTTTTGCGCTACCTGCTGCGATGGAAACAATATTCAAATGATGGTAGTGGATCCCGTGAGTCCTCACAAAAAAATTGAGCTCGATACGAGCAAGGAGACCGAAATGGCAGCGGAATATTTGAGCTCGGTTAGTCTTGAGCCGTGCTCAAGTCTGTCGAGCGCGTGGATGAAGTTTGCCAGACTATAGCACGGGGGTTTGGTTTCGCTCCGAGCTGGGTTTGACACCAGTTTGTCCCTCGTCTCAAGACCTTTCCAGGAAGCTCAAGATCATGGAATTCGTCCAAGGGAAGGTAAAGTTATCGATCCTTGAGCAGCTAGTACTTTCATGGAGAAATGCGACTTTTACAGGTGTTGACGTGGGGCGCGTTCAGGTAGCGTCGTGCTAAAGAGGTTAATCGACATTTGTGTATACTTTGTTCAATTCTATGTTCTTATCAACCACCACACCACACCGCTGCGCTCTCCGGCCGACATCAACACATTGCCACAGCACACCATCAGCAAAACGACACTTCAGTTGGTACTCTACTCTTTCAGACAGCGGCTGTTTCGATCATCAGGATCTCGTCAGTGAAGGTTGATAATGTAGAATGGCTAACAGATAGTGAACTTCACCCTTTTGTAGCAAAAAAGGGGGAAACATAATGGCGCATCTTAGGAGCAAAAAGGGGGGAAACATAATGGCGCATCTTAGGCGCGAAGAATGCTACTTGTTGATTCAAAATTTTGAAGGACGCTTCACGCAGCTTCATTGCACTATGCTATGTTGATTCTTGTAAAAAAACTTCGGCTGGTTTCTTCTTGTTTGTGTTCAGTCTGCGGAGGCCGAACGTCGCAAGTGCCAGGACGAAGAGGAGGCAAAGAACAAGGTGAGGTCCTTACAAGGGAGGCTTCAGCTGTACCTCCATTCGGTGTGGAAAATGTTATGGCCATTGTTGGCTCGTTAGAATCAGCCTGCTTGGTCACGTACAGGTTAATGAAAACCTGCTGCCGCTGGCCCTGCGCGGGACGGTTGGATGTGGTTGTGTTTGCATATTGGTGTTTCATCGCATGCTGTACCCAATGGCTCTGTGTGTGTGTGTGTGTGTGTGTGTGTCCCCCGTGTGTGTGTGTGTGTGTGTGTGTGTGTGTGTGTGTGTGTGTCCCGTGTGTGTGTGTGTCCCATGTGTGTGTGTGTGTGTGTGTGTGTGTGTGTGCGTGTGTATGTGTGTGTGCGTGTGTCCCATGTGTGTGTGTGTGTGTGTGTGTGTCCCGTGTGTGTGTGTGTGTGTGTCCCGTGTGTGTGTGTGTCCCATGTGTGTGTGTGTGTGTGTGTGTCACATGTGTGTGTGTGTGTGTCCCGTGTGTGTGTGTGTGTGTGTGTGTGTCACATGGGTGTGTGTGTGTCCCGTGTGTGTGTGTGTGTGTCCCGTGTGTGTGTGTGTGTATGTGTGTCCCATGTGTGTGTGTGTGTGTGTGTGTGTGTGTGTTCCGTGTGTGTGTGTCTGTGTATCCTGTGTGTATGCTTGCTGTACATGTATGTGCATGCATGCATGCATATGGGTGTGTGTGTGCCTCTCTTCTACCAGGCTGAGCTTGCAGAGTTTGAACGCCAGCAGCAGGGCCGCCAGCGCAAGCGTCGTCCCAGAGCGGAGACACAAGCAGAGCCCGGCTGGTGGGAGAAGCATTGGCGCAAAGTATTCATCGCACTCCTAATCATCGTAGCACTCCTGGCCGTGGTATATATCTTCAAGAAGGTGTCAGTGCTCGACAAGGCTGTGCCGGCGGCTAAAGTGCCCAAGATCCGTCGGCGCAAGTGATCACATGCGCCGTCCTATGTCTCCGCTCTCTCGCGCTCATCCTGGTATTGTTACCAGATCAGTGCAATGATGTTTGTACTTCAGCCCCCTGCTGTATCTGGTAACTTAGGCGAGGGGGCACTTCAGTCCACTGCGCAGTATGTGCACTGTCGTACATGACCTGTAGCATACTGCACATCCTATGCACCCACCAGCCGTCCAGCGTCAAGTAACCCGCTAACTGAAATCCAGGCGTACCACTTGCCCCCCGGAGAGATTTTGGCATGCCATCGGTTCCTGAAAACTCTGCTGCCTTCCATACGGCACCTGCTGAATGTTGTGGAGCGGCTCTTCTTTCCTGGCTTGCGTTGAATGACCCTCTCGCCTTTTGCACTCTTCAGTGCCTGATCTATGCTGTTGGCATACTACTGGTGGGTGCTTTGCTAGCTTCCACAATGCCTGCGTTAGCTGAATGCTTATTTTGCTCGTCACCTGCTGAACGGCAATGGATCACTTCTTAGACCTTCATTTCAGCAGTTTATTTACCGTCGAAGGTCATCAAAATGTGACCACCTAACTGATGTGCATTGCTTCAGGGTCTTGAGAGAACTCCCTGCTTAGCCCATACCCCTGTATCTAGAAAAACCCTGCTTGGCCTTGTTCCTTGTGTCCCAGCGTCTCGCAAAACCCTGCGGTGCCCCTGTTCGTTGTGTCTAGTCGAACCCTGCTTTGCCCCTTTACTTGTGTCCCAGCGTCTAGTCAAACCCTGCTTTGCCCCGTTACTTGTATCCCAGCGTCTAGTCAAACCCTGCTTTGCCCCTTTACTTGTGTCCCAGCGTCTAGTCAAACCCTGCTTTGCCCCTGTTCCTTGTGTCCCAGCGTCTAGCGAAACCCCTGCTTGGCCGCTGTTCGCAATGCTCAAGCGTCTAGAAAAAGCCCTTCTTGGCCACTGTTTCTGTTTGTCCCAGCGTCTAGAAAGCCCCTGCTTTCGATCTTGCTGCTTGCGCTGCATCGGCATCAAGGCACCGTATCTGCTGCTTGGCCCGTCACACAGCCGCTGGTTATGGCAGCGGCGGCAGCCAGGCAAGCGCGCTGTATGTACATACGGCACCAAACCACACGCTACCTACTGTACAGGATACAGTCAACCTAGCTCGTGAATAACGATATCGGATACTATAGCAACCGGCGACCGACGGCACAATCTACAGACTGAATTTACTGACCACCCGCTGTACCTAGATTTTACTGTGGCGTTTGTGGGTTGATTTGCTTTCGCTGGTCTTGCATTTAGCGCCCATTGCAGATTTTTATCTTTCTTGCGGCCCCTGCTTTTGGCTCTTTACATGGTTTGCACGCACATGCAGGGCATGGTTTGCGAACGTGAAGCCTCCCGGCCTCACATAATTATAATGTTGATCATATTGTATTATGGCCTTTGGAGTATGATCATGTGCTCTGCCTCGGCTCTGGTGCTCATGTGCTGAGCCTGTGCCGGTATCCCGGGATGTCTGGCTCTGTGCGCCAACCCTGCCGCTCCAGCTCTGGGATGCTGCATTTCGCTACTCAGGGGCGTAGCCGCTGAGCCGGTCCGGCCGGTTCGGCTTCGGTCGGACCACTTTTTCGCCCAGAAGTGCCCAGAACGCAACATTTTCCCGCGGCCCCGGGACCGTGCCCCTCCGACCGGACCATCTGCAACGGCGGTGATACGCGCGCCTGCTATCCATGTAGTCTGTCAGTTTTGTTTTTCACCAATTGACTAGTATATTACAGTGCTGGCAACTGAAATCCGACCCCCTTGTCGGCGCGGCGTTTTTGCTACCTTTCAAATTTGAAAAAAAAAAAGATGTGCCGTGCAGATAAGTCCAGTGTTGTTACAGATGTAGTAACTGTGAAACAAACCATCATGCAGTATTCGTGAGCACGGCAGGCTTGCAGAGCCCGAGTTCTCCAAGCCCCCCCCCCCCCCCCCCCGTGTACAGTAGTACCAAGTAGTACCAAGTAGTACCAAGAGTACTCTTGGTATTTAATACATGCAATAGTTTAAACCGAACACGGATTCTTCGAACGAATAATCTATCGAATAATTTCGCCCTCCATCGAACGAATAATCTATATTCAATCATACACGTACACATGATGGCATTTTCAACACTTTTTCATCACTTTTTAAGTAGTTTAAAAAAAAATTTTTTTGCTGACTATCGGATTTTGTTATGTGGAGGTGCAAAACCGGTTAACCTGTACCGCCAAGAGTACATAACCCCCCCCCCCCCCCCCCCAGAGTGTGCAACGCCTGATACAGCTCTGCATAGGGTCTTGGTCGAAAGGGGTCAAAGACCGAAAATCACATTCACTGCATCCATGTTTCCCTCGTATGGAAAGAACAGAAGTATTACTAGATACCGATAGGAGATTAAAACTTGGAGGAGAGGAGATTGAGAAGAAATACTACGAGCAGATCTACGGAGTGCAAATATCAGTAGGGTCAGCACTGCACTGAGCATAGATCTTCTTTTTTTTCGATTTCTGATAATTCCTACGACTATTCGATTATTCGTTCACCCCACGAATATTCTAAATTATTCGATTATTCGTTTCAACTACAGTTGCGCAGTGCACCGTTCCTGATTTTCATTGAGGATTGGGTCAACTAAATTATTACTTGTCAAGCATTGCCACAGTTGCAACAGTTACCTGTCCCTCCAGGAAATCGCGATTCCACGGATGCAACAAATTTCGCGATTTTGACCCAAGCCCGCGATTTTCAGCAAAATCCGCGATTTCCCGCGTTTTTATGTTGTTTTCTGCACTATATCTCACATTTCTATGCACTTTTCACGCAGTGCTTTCCATGATCCTGTAGGTTATTTGCACATCACGACTCGTACTAATCCCAAGTAGATATACGATGCAACAAATTTCGTGATTTTGGCCCAAACCCGCAATTTTCTGCAAATACTTCCGCGAATTCCTGGCAAGTTCTGCATCATTCCGCACTTTTCGTCACATTTTTTGTTGTTTTCTGCCGCAATTTCTTGCGCAAGTTTTCGAGAGTTCTTTCCGCAAATTCCCGCAGGGACAGAGTTACTGTACACGGGGGGCTTGGAGAACTCGGGCTCTGCAAGCATGCCGTGCTCATGAATACTGCATAATTATGATGGTTTGTTTCACAGTTACTACATCTGTAACAACACTGGCCTTATCTGCATGCATGGCACATCTATTTTTTTTCAAATTTGAAAGGTAGCGAAAACGTGGGTCAACATTGCTTCACTGCACTTTTGTAGTTCTCTCGACATCTGGTCCTTTCATTATGCCATGAAGAGATTGAGAGGCCGAGAAGAGGGTTCGCTGGGTCGGCCGACCACAGACTCTACAACTAAAATGGTCTACTTCTCCTGTCCTAGACCACACTTGCCGGCACTCGTACCCTGTACTACGGATAAGATCAAGACTGAAAAGAGTATAAAAGGCTTCTACTTGTAGCAAGAGTCCATAAACAAAACTGTTTATGCACTCTTGCTTGTAGTTTGTACTCTTGATAAAGATGGCTGATGCATGCATGCAGTGCGTGCATCATGTTGCACGTTGTTGCAAGCTCCATACAATACAAGAAAACACCAAAAACTCCTCCCTACGTTCAAAACAGAGCCCTGCATGCTGTACTACTGTACGGTATGTGTTCAAGTAGGAGTTCGCGTCACCGACGCCCCGTTGGCGTCACCATTTGCACACATGTTTTCAGGTCTCCCCGATCATCGTCTTGGTCTTCTCACAATCTGGTTCAGATCCGAACCCAGAATCAGTCATCCCGAAGAAGAGGCGGAGGGTGGTGTGCCCACAAAAAGCAATGTTTTTCTGTGGAGTAGCTGTCCGCTGAGGAGTTATCCATTCAGCACGCCGCCATCACGTTTAGTCGGAGTGCAGCTTCCAGAGATCGGCCCAGTGCTGTTGAATTCGCACATTCATTTTCTCACTGGCACCATTTCAAGGTTGGGAACGTCTGACTTCCTCTCCCACTTGAGTGTGCAGTCATGGCTGAAGTATTACAACTTCGCCAGCAGTTGCGCCGTGAGCGCCTGCTGCTCGCGGAGGAGAAGCGCCAGATCGAGAAGCTCTCGGAAAACATCGGCACGCTGGCGGACAAGGCCTTCCAGGCCTCTTGGCGAGTGCGTCAGCAGTACAGAAGTGTAGATCTGCTGAGTTCGTCACAGATGAACACGCAGCACTGCGCAGCGCGGATGTCCCAGGCGGAAGGCGCCGCGTTCGTCCGCACGTTCGACCCGTCCACGGACCAAGGCCGCTCGGGCACCGTGGACAGCTCGACATCTCTCGCGAACAACGCTGCCAGCAGCACGACAACCAAAAACCTGCAGCCAGTGGCAGGTTTGAATCAGCTGGGAGAGCTGCTGAGCTTGCTTCGTGCCCACCCCGAGGTGCTGGCACGCCTGCTGGTGTTCACGAACAACAGCAAGATGGACGTGCGCAGCGTGGTTGAGGTTATCATGCACGGCGTGTTCGCCAACTTTCTCCTGCCGCAGGACGAGCGCTCGGTGCTGAAGCTGATGGAGCGCACGCTGGCCATGCAGCTGCGTGGCACGGAGGACCCGCGGCGCATCCTGCGCGGCGTGTCCAGCTGCTTCACCGTCCTGTTCAACACGTTCATCGAGGGCTACTACCCTGCTCACGTGTACCTCTCGGAGACGCTCGGCGAGGTGATCAAACAACTCGCCATGGACGACGACCGCTACTTTGAGTTCGAGGTGCCGAAGCTGGCAGCACGATTTACCGAGGCGAAACGCGAGCAGCTGTTCACCGTGGACATGAAGCCAAAGACGGACAAGGTGCAGCGCTTTCTGGACACGGCCACGTACAAAGCGGCCGGTTACTGCCGCCAGATATTCGAGGCGTTGACGCTGCGCATGACGTCGCTGCCGAACGGCCTGCACTGGCTCCTGAGCAGCGTGTACGCCAACATGTGCACACAGACGAAGAAGGAAGCGGACGCCAAGCTGGTCATTGCCGACCTGTTCTTCGGACAGTTCATCTGCCCGGCGATCGCTAATCCCGAGGCTCACATTCTGAGCGATGCCACCGTGCCCATATCGGACCATGCACGTTACAATCTCACCCAGATAGCGCGGGTGGTGCAGAATGCGTGTACGACGGCCATCACCGGCACCCGACCCAAGGAGCTGGCGGCCGTCCTGGAAGAAGTAGAGGTGGTACGTCTCATGCCATGGTGTTTGTGTGTGTGTGTGTGGGAGGGGGGGGGGGTGTATGTATGTGTGTGTGTGTGTATGTGTTTGTGTGTGTTTGTGTGTGTGTGTGTGTCAGCACGTGTGTATGCAGACGTACACAAGCAAGAAGTATGGAGCATGGCGTGGGGTTCTACACCAATCCTCTCATGTTCCCTCAGGATTCCTGCTAGTGCCAAGTTCTGCGCTACACTGCAGTTTTTAAGCATTTCCATGAATGTCTGAGTGTGTCGAACCCTTGCCCATCTTTAGTGTGCAATGTTGAAATTGAGAGTATACGCAGCAAAATCCTCCCTTTGAAGTTTTGTTGGATTTTACGCTGTCGGGTGCGTGTAAAAGTGGTCTTCGGGTGGTTGCTGATTAAAAGATGCAGACGTTATCTGATAGGCTAACTGTCCTTTGTGTGTGTGTGTGTGTGTGTGTGTGTGTGTGTGTGTGTGTGTGTGTGTGTGTGTGTGTGTGTGTACGTGCCTGTGTGTGTGTTGGATGCCAGGGTCCAGCCACCACTCTGCTCAATCAGCTGACACACGCCGGTGGTGGTAAAGGTCAGGGTCCACCGGAGCTGTGCACCAGTGAACACGAGGACTTCTTGACACGCAATAATGTGTTCATGTCCGAGGGACAGGTGCAGTGCTTGGTAAGAGACCTAGCCCCCCCCCCCCCCCCCCCCCCGCCAATCACATTCCTCTCTTCCATCCTGCCGCCATCGCTTGTTTGCTACAGTCAGACCTCGCTTATCCGGTCCTCTTTTATCCGGATCCCTCGCCATCCGGAAGATAATTGTTGGTTACCGATTTACAGCATATGCGATGCATGCATACAGTGTGTGTGTTCGGTTACTAGTATCCCGTTCCCACGCCTATCCGGATATTTTCGTGGAAAACGGATGTGTGCGGTTATGCGAGGTCTGACTGTACTACACTCAAGCGTCTCTTATCCGGACGCCTCAGATATGGGCACATCTCTCTACCGGACACCTTCAGGTTGGATTGCTAATTTGCTATGGCAAAATGCTTCGATTTTGGGGTTTGAATTTTTCATGTGTACAAGTGCTTATTGATTTTGTCACTGCCAACCGGTGTAATCCGCACACTTTCATCAATGTATTCTTTTATCCGGAACATATGCAATACGTGCGAGAAAAAAACTTCTTCGAAAACTGTTTAAATGGTACATGGTAGATGAGCTGTCCTGAGATACGGGCAAATCTGAGATACGGACAGTGCCCGGTCCCAAGGTGCCCGGATATGAGACGTTCGAGTGTATCGTGTCTTTAGTAGACTCTTTGCATGGTTATCCTTGGCTCTCTCTCTCTCTCTCTCTCTCTCTCTCTCTCTCTCTCTCTCTCTCTCTCTCTCTCTCTCTCTCTCTCTCTCTCTCTCTCTTTTTCTCTCTCTCTCCCCTCTCCCCTCCCTTTTGCTTTTTCTTGAACTTGTTTTTGTTTGTATTGTGCATAGCTGTCTGCCCTGCAGAAGGCATCTCTCCCGCTAACAATGGCTGGTGTGCCTGCCCGAGTAACAACGCTCATCGGCGAGCTGCATGATTCATGCTCACTGCTGCATAGCAATACACCCTCGTCTCGTTCACCGGCCGTGGAACGCTCTGAAGTGTCCAAGTACAACTCCTTGCCGGTCAAGATGGATGGGAAGTCACCGCTGCGGGTAGGTTGCGGGTCTTTAACCCTTTGCATGCTGGGCCCCTTTTCACCAATCTACTATCTTTCCAGCTCACTGACTCTCTTGTTGGATTTGCGCTCACAGCTCCGAACGAAATCTACTCTCATTTCACTCCACCTTGATGGATTTTCATCATCCTGGGCTCGTTGGAAAGAGCAGGACCAAGCGAATCCATCATGGTAGATGTCAGCGACATAGACACACCAGGGCCACTTCCACCTCCTCTCCAAACTACTCCACAGTGCCTCGGAACGGCACCACACATATAACTCGTACTCAGCACGCAAAGGGTTAAAGGGGAAGTATACCCTAAAATCAAATTTTCACCAGTTGTAGTCTTCGGGGTGCTGAGTCGAATGGTCTTGGTCCGAGGAAGCTGAGACGCTCCCTTCCTCCTTTATTCCCAATCGAACTCGCGCACTTCCACCGAAACTGGGTGACTGCGCCCTACTAGATGGGGATTTGTATGCAAAATGTCACTAAAAGCGCCATTTCGTTCTTATAAAAGCACGAATGACCGCCATTGGCCCATATGTTGTAGTCTTTTGGACGCTGAGTCGACTGGTTTTGGTCCGAAAAGGCTGCGATGCAGCGTTCCTCCTTTATTCCCAATCGAACATGGTTGAACAAGCGGTCACGTGCTCCTGCGTACACCAGTCACCTGGTCACCGTGCCTGCAGGGTACAACTTACTAGCCTGTTTGACCTTTTTTGGGGGCAGTCCTGTCACTCGAGTTGAACTCGAGTTGAACCTTGGTGTGAAAGTTGTCGCCTGCTGGCGCGGTGACCAGGTGATTTGGGCACCCAGGAGCACGTGGCCGCTTGTCCAACCATGTTGGATTGGTAATAAAGGAGGAACGCTGCATCACAGCCTTTTCGGACCAAAACCAGTCAACTCAGCGTCCAAAAGACTACAACATATGGGCCAATCGCGGTCATCCGTGCTTTTATAAGAACGACATAGCACTTTTAGTGAGATTTTGCATACAAATCCCCATCTAGTAGGGCGCATTCACCCAGTTTCGGTGGAAGTGTGCGGGTTCGATTGGGGAAAAAGAAGGAAGGGAGCGTCGCAGCTTCCTCGGACCAAGACCATTCGACTCAGCACCCAGAAGACTACAACTGGTGAAACTTTGATTTTAGGGTATACTTCCCCTTTAAACAGTTGTACCGTTCTTTTGCGGAGTATGAGCCACACTGGAGTATGGAGGGTATGCGATAGTCATGTGTGTACAGTCCATTCATTGGAAACTGGCACCCTAACTTTTTGGTGTCTCCCACACATAGTTGTAGATATCGTGAAAACAACAGTACATCCTGCATTGTGTGACCCGTGCAATTACTCCTTGCCACATTGGAGACCAGAAAATTCCAAGAACAGGGAAATAGAAATTCAGCCAGGTTTTACGAAATTGGGACAGGTATGCCATGGGGAAATGTATGGAGAAGCAGATCCAAAACCCAGATTTTTGAGATTTAAAGTGGGTTTTGATCCTCAATTCGGCCCAAATCGGACTTTCGAAAGCCAGTTGGACTGTTTCCGATGAATGGACTGTAGTACACACTTCGCCCATGTATCGAAGACAAGCTGGCCTCATTAACCACGTTCTGCAAGATTTAGGGTGCGTTCTTATATTCTCTAGCTTCTAGGAGAAGAAGAAAAGAGAAGTCGAAGAAACTGGGATAACTCAAGAACGGGTCTCGAAGAATTCGGAGATATTTTGCACGTGTGATTCTGAAGCAATATGAAGCACCAAAGGGTCCGCGATCTTGAGTTATGAATGCAGTATGCACATGTGCGTATTAGAAAAGGGAAATGCGTACACTCATGATCAACACGTGGCTTTTAGCCGTAGTTCGCATGCGCTGATCCCAAACCGCGGGAATCTCCGAGTTTCAACCCCCTCTGAAGCTTGGAGAGCTTTGGAGAGCCTCCTTGAAGTCGGAGAGAATGTAAGAACAGCTCTCGACCTTTTCGGAGAGTCTCCAACTTTTCCCGAGAGGATTTAAGAACGCACCCACAGCAGTGGAGGAGTGGCGAAGACTGGCCTCAGGTGCCGTCCAAGGTTACCGATAGTCCTTTCAAAACGAAAAGTTTTCGTTTTGGGGGCGGGTGGGTTTGAAGGAGATTCGTTTTGGAAATAATCATTGAATGCAGATGTAAAATGCCCAGTTACTTCTGGGTGTCGAAAATTGACATCAATATTTTATTTGAATTCGTTTTACCTGCAGAAAAGGTAGGTGGGTGGGTGGGTGCTGAAAAATACTAAAACTTTTCCTTTTGCTAAAAACTATTGGTAACCCCGGACGGGCCCCTTATAGAGGTTTTTCGAAAAGTGGTCACGTGCCGCTCCCGCGTGGGCTCAGGAGACCTTGAGTGGCAAAAAGATCGTGACAGCTAGTGACAGCTGCACTTTTTGATTTGAGTTTGCACTATTGCAGTATTTCTTTGCTGATTTGACGATCAGATTCGTGCTTGTTGGTGCGTTCTTGAGAGGGTACCTGCTTGGTATGACTGCTGAAATGGATGAAGTGGAATGAAGTAGATTTACACCCAAAGCTCGTCCACAATCGAACAAGTTCAACTTGTCTGAGTGCCGATAGTGTTAGTTTATGCAAATATTGAAGTTCACATTGCCGAACATAAAGACAGTTTCATTAATCATGGTGTACAGCAATTTTCTATTTGATGCTATTAAAAAAATAAAACAATACATTCACAGTTCAGCGCATAGCCGGCCGGTTCAGGCATCCAATGGACATTGAAACATGGTGCCACCAGACATAAGCAAAATAACTGACACTCGTTGATATGGCAAGCAGAGCTTACATTGCACGGCCATGGTGGCATGATGAGTTTCATTACCAAGATAATAACGGCAACGTGAATAATGAGCAGAGTACCACAATGCATAAACCCATTGCAGCAAATCACAATCATCTACAAACTACTATCACAGTGCTCAGTTGAGCGGCACACACAGATTTGCAGCAATTGCACAAAGCACAGCGCACACTAACAATACGGTCAATCATGGACTCCTTCTTCTCATCCGTGTCATGCTTCAATAGAATGACAGGTAGGGTTGACTGCAAGATGGTATACTTCTGCCGAAGCAGGTCGATCACCCTCTCAACGTGGATACGCACATTTGCGATTTGGCGTGACTGCTCGAGCTCCTGCCTTGTCAGCTGCTTCTTCCCCCTGGTGAAGGAAGGGATGACTAGTTTGGCACAGTACATGCCAACGCTGTCTTCGATAGTAAATCCACGATCCGCCATGACTTGATCTCCCGGATTGAGGAGCTTCAATAGGCCACAGTTCTCCGTTAAATGCTTGTCAGGTGTTCGTCCGCGCCAAGCCTTGGAGATGAAGGATATGGAGCCTTGGGGTGTGACAGCAACCAAAAACTTGACAGTGTTGTGGGATTTGTAATGTGAAAAGGTGAGAGCTCTAGCCATAAGATTACGTGGTCTCTCCATAAATACCTCCAAACAGTCGATTATGCAGACGCAGCGACCGAACTGTCCGCGGAAGCTCCTCGGTATGGTCTTCTCCAGGTCACCATGGTTTAGCCAGGGGATAAGTGGGCGTAACCGGATGAACATCACTTGGATCCACTTCTCAAATATCTTTGTGACAGTGGCCGGACTGATGCCAAAGCGGTAAGCCAAGTCCTGATGCGCGAGGTTCAGTCTAAGTTTCATGAGCACGAGGATGAATTGTTGGAAGAGGGACAACTTGCTACGACCATGGGCAGAGAGAGGCTTTGACACATAAGAGAAGACAGTTGACAGGATTTTCACATCAGGCAGGCCAGTGTAGTAATGGACTTTGGCAGGGTCATTTTTGAAATTATCTTCAGTGTACTCATATGACGGCTGCTTCAGCTTCAAGGTGGCGTTCTCCAGCTCCAACTCCGTCACTCCGGCCTGCAGTTTCGCTACTGATGCCTTCAACTGCTCCTTTTCACTCTCCAAATCGTGAAGCTTGTCCGTGGTGAGATCTGTCTGGCAAGATTTTGAAGTGGACGCGGATTCAGCAGGATCAGGAGTAGGCGGTGCAGCAAGTGGCAAAAAATAAAACAAAAAAAACAAAAAACATCGTGACTGTGCAAAATGTCGTTCAAAATGTCGATGTCAGAGTTCGAAGTAAAGGTTTCGTGTTGTTGCTTTATAGCAGTTAGCTCCAGGGAGTCGTAAAATACCGGGAGGCGACACGAGATGCACAACCGCGTCGGATGATTGCCTCAGCTCGGGCACGAGTGCTGAGACCTCACGCGCTGCATGGCGAGGGACTTCCCATGAGGTCAAAGCGGCGCAGGTCATGCAAAAGGACGCGTTCGCTGTTTGGTCCAAAAAATTTGAAAACTCAATAAAATTATCCTGCACACAACGAATCCAGTGTCAGCAGTTCGTTTTGTTTTTCTAAGTAATAATACTTTGTGCCTTGGCCTTCGAAGTAAAGGATGATGGAGCTTGACAGAGATGACTGCCAAAGTGATGAGTCCACCGTGGAAGATGTAGATGACGCCACGTATTCACTTGGTGACCTGAGTTGTGGGGATGTTCAGCTGTGGGCTACAGGTGAGATTCTTTCGTTTGCATGTTTTTGTCTCTTCCTTGTGGACACGAATGTATAATCTGTAGCATACCTAAGTGCCCGAACTGACCCGATAAATTAGGTGGTCGACACCATCCTTTTCATCCTAGTCTGCCCACGATGCATTGTCTGTTCACTGTGACAGGATATTTATTGAAGTCCTGAAAATTTACGTGTGTACCTAGTATGTATCATCACCGTAGATGATGTAAACCTCCATCCTCAAACCATACTTTGTCTATGTGCAGATCGATGTAAGAGTGGTAGTGCCATCATGGTGTACAGGCCTATGGAAGGTGCAGTGATCCATGGAATTTGCAAACTGCTGACAATGAGACAGGCGAGTGTTACTGAGGCGACGGAGTCATTCCTGCATGTTATTATGACACGGTTACACAAGGCATCAGGTACTGCAAATCTGCTACGCCAGGAAGTGTGCCAGCTGAAGGCATGCAAGGGTGCTGATATTTCGCAAGCATGGCAACAAATGCTGTCCGTCATCGCAACAGCTATTCCCGAAGTGAAAATCAATTGTGAAGGTCAGTGCGTTTTGCATGCATGTTGGAAAAAAAATTGGCTTCTGACTAGTTATGCAGACTAGGTATGCAGACTAGGTATGCAAACGCTGGCTTTTGAATACTAGTACAGTCTCTGCAACCACCAGTCCTCATATGTTGTCTTTTTCTTTTCTCTTCTTCAGATTTGGAAGTTACATCTGCAGTGCTAGCGAATCTGATAAGCTACCTGCATGCCACGGCTGCCGCTGCTATCAGGAAAGCGTCAATAGCACCATCCAAAGCTGCTGAAGCCATCCCCGAACCGGTGATTGACAATTTGTCTCACCTTGCTGAAAAGTACCATGGTGGTTGGTGCTTGGTGGCCGTGCGGCGTGAGCTGGAAGGAGCAAGGTGTCGCAACGACAACTTGCTGCAGCTTATACCTTTATTTGGCAAGGATGCCGTGACAAGCCTTCAGCCTTGTTTGGAGAATTCAGGTGGCCCGGCGTGGCTCGGAAGCTCTGTATAAGACACCATACGTCACAGATAAAAACAACTGAACCAGTGATATGTGAATTTTGCGCTTGTGTGTGTGTGTGTGTGTGTGTGTGTGTGTGTGTGTGTGTGTGTGTGTGTGTGTGTGCTTCTGTGATAAGTGGTATAAGCAGTCCACAGGGTATTCACCTTGAGTGCATTCGCCGATAGTGTGACTTTCGTCGCACAGAACCTTCTTCAGTTGGTCAGGTGACTCGGCGTGGCTCGGAAGCTCTGTATAAGACAAAATACGACACAGATAAAAACAACTGAACCAGTGATATGTGAATTTTGCGCTTGTGTGTGCACATGCATGTGTGTGTGTGTGTGTGTGTGTGTGTGTGTGTATGTGTGCTTGTGTGCTTGTGTGTATGCTACTGTGATAAGCGGTACAAGCAGTATACAGGATATTGACGGGTATTCACCTTGAGTGCATTCGCCGATAGTGTGACTTTCGTCGCAGAGAACTTTGCTCAGTCGGTGAGGCGACTCGGCCTTACGTTTCCTGAAGGCAATGTGTTCAGAACAGTTATGAACAGCTATGAACAGTTAAGAAATGACAAATATTGTTTGCAGTTCATGGGCCATATAGATGTGAAACACTTTGAATGCAGAAGAATGAGGATAGTGGCATCAAATACTGCATGGATTCTGTTTGATATGCTACTTTTTTTTTCCCTTCCATGGAAAGGTGAGTACATCGTCGAACTTCATCTCGAAACTTCACACAAACCTAGAATGGAACTTGGACAACATGAATGGGCCATGGGCATGGTGTGTTTAGTGGAGAACTATTCCGAAAACAGGGTGTCATTCGCATTGACTCAATTCAAATTTGAGTACATTTCGTGAATAACTTACCTTGACATTCCGTCGTCTCCAAAGCAGTGAACTTCCAAAAAAAAAATTAAAAGCCACGGCTCAACCTAAGGTAATGCGTGGTACGTATCAGAAACAACCAGCTTTCGCTCTGGAGATCCAGAATAGCCTCGAAGCATATAGCAAAAACAATTGAGAAAAAGAAGATGACGACGACGTTTCAATCACGCTTCAAATTTCGCGGGTCGAGTGCGGCAATCCTCGGATCGTGAAATGTGTGGCGTGTCGCCTCCCGGTATTTTACGACTCCCTGGTTAGCTCGTACATCGGCGTTGCCATTTTTGTTCTTTTCGTAACTTCTTCTTCGTAGCTTTTTTTCGTTTTCGAAACTGCAAAGGGCAGTATGCTAGAGGTGTCAGGGATGGACGAAGCTGCTGCTGGCAGTGCTGCTGCTGCTGCTGCTGCTGCTGAGCTCCTTCACAGTCCCGAGCTCAGTGAAGTCGTTGTACTTGCATTTCTAACCTCATAATACTGACAAGTGATTAGTCCAGCGGACATATCAGGTTCTGCAAAAATATGTTGAAGAATCACCTCTGTCCTTGCTTGAGAAAATGTATACAGCAGCCCCCAATTTTTGAGAAAGCCTGTACATGTATTTGCATACATCCCCTTACTTCTTCCCTATAATCTGCTAAGCTAGATTTGACCAAAACCCACCCAGTTTTTGATCACAGAAAATCGCTGCCCCTGAAAACTGGTCACAACGGATTTATCTCGTTTTGCAATGAAGCCCTTCACATGTATTACGTCAATCCATTCATTAGAGGAAACCAAAAAAACTTTTTTTCTTTTTTTCTTTTTACAAACTGCAAGGCTGTTACTTGCTCCCATTGCCATTTCTTGCCGCCAAATTAGCCTTCACGTGTTTCAAATCTTTATTCTCACGATGGCCTGTGGCCAATAAGAGATAGTAATTATAGTGAGATTAGTATGATGCGGAAATTTCATGGCCAGCAGTGATCAAACTAGATGTACGGGTGAGCATGGCTCGTGCACGAGCAGATTGATTTGAGCAGCAGGGTTGATATAATTATTTTTCTTAAACAAAGCTGGTGATTGAATATATTTATATTTATTACAGCATCTCATTACCACATCTCAATACTTGGTGGAAACACAGCGTAACGTTGATGAGAGGCCATTGAAATAATGGAGAGATTTGTACAGAGGGGAACCCAGGCAGCGGTCGGTTCTTGCAGTTGGCAAATGCCAAGTGTGAGTGTGCCGAAAGCTCTAGTCTGTGTTGACATGATTAGGGGTTGCGAGCATTATGATATGAGGAATGTTGTTGTGTTTATTGCCTTGTGCTTCATTTCAGCTTGATCCAAAGTCTGCTGGCAAGAAGAACAGCAAGGTAGAACCTAAACTCCGCAACAGTCCGTCAAACGTATCGCTGTCTGCGTTGGATGAGAACGCGGAGAGCCATGATGTTCTTGTCATACCGATTCACTGCGCACAAGCGTGCGGCCACGTGCAGCTGCAGTCGATGAAAACGGTGAGCCGTGTGTGTGTGTGTGTGTGTGTATGCGTGCGCGTGTGTGTTTGCATGTGTACATGCCCATATGAAATTTTGGTGTCTGGGTGGAATACCGTAATGCCGCGTATAAAAGCAGGCGCTTACGGCCGTATAAGCCGATGTCAGTGCTCCAAGGCTTCTACTCAAGTCAGGCTACTATTCAAACCACGTATCAACACTAAACCAGACTTATGTACTGACAGTGTTTCTTTAAAATCCAGGCTTGTATTCAAAACACGTATCTCTATGCATGTACAATACCCTACAGTAAATATTTTGATCTGACCAAAGAAAAAAAGAACTCGGCAGGTGTGGTTGATACATTCTTTACATCTAGTGGAAGAGGTGGTGACTTGCCTCACAAGCTCTGACTGGACAAGCAGACTATTCTAGTGGGCACGGACTGGATTTGTGGATGGTCTTGTTCATCTGTATGCAATTAGGATGCTTGTGATTCACAGTGTGTGTGTGTGCGTGCGTGTGGGCGTATGTGTGTGTGTGTGTGTGTGTGTGTGTGTGTGTGTGTGTGTGCGTGTGCGTGTGCGTGCATGCGTGTGTGTATGAGTGTGTGTGTGTGTGTGTGAGTGCGTGTGTGAGTGCGTGTGTGAGTGCGTGTGTGTGTGTATGAGTGGGTGTGTGTGTATGAGTGCGTGTGTGCATGCATGCACGTGTGTTCTATATGCGTGTGACTGGTGACTATGCCCTATGCACGTCAGGTTCTGTATCGATTCCAAGGCCAGTCGTTGCAAGATCTGACACCATCCAAGTCATTCCAGCTGGCCCAGCAGCAGCAGCAGCAACAACAACAACAACAACAACAACAACAGCAAGGGATTGCAACAAGCGCAGAGCCGAGTAGCCACCATGCCACGTCCACATTGTCGCCCACCACCCGTCCGCGGCAGTCGCTTTCCGGCGTACCTGTCACCGCCACATCGTCCTCCACGGCAGGTCCCGCCGCAGCCCCGGCGTCCGCCCTGTCTTCGTTCAAGATGAAGACGCGGCCTCGCTCGCGATCGCGCACGAGTACTGCGTCCAGCATCGACGAACCCAGCCCCGGCGTGCTGGACAGGAGGCGCACTTCCTCAGAGCCGCCTCACCCCATGGTGCCGATCAGCATGGAGGTGGAATCGGCCAAGGTCAGCGCCTGTGTCAGCGAAAACGACTTGGCAGAAAGTCCCGGTGAAACGGACGAGGCGACGCAAGAAATCTACGCACGCCTGCCGCCAGTGAAGAGCGCCACCTCGCACGGCTCGTACGGTTCCCTAGACGACCGGCGCGGAGTGTTTCACTCGGACAGCGGAGATCGACGGCACAAGCTCACGCACAGCATGTCGGACGGCGTTGGCATGATCCTGATGTCGCGGCAAACGAGAGAACCGCACACTCCGTCGCCGTCGACCAGACGTCACGGCTCGTTGGGGTTCCCCGAACCGTCCGGGTACGTGGATGTGGGACTCATCCTGGAGCGAGCCACCCATACCAATGCCCAGCGACATAGCAGCTCTGAACTGCGCAAGTTCAGTAGCAACAGCACCTTTGAGCAAGAGGACAGTGACGGGTACACACGCGTGCGCTCTCCCAGCTCCAGTATGGAGCCTCTTCAACTTGCTGCTGGCGATGATAAACCGCTGCCAGCCCCACCGCTACCCCCTCACAGCAAACCTCTACTCTTCGACCTGGCTGGGGAACGATCCGAGAGCTCCAAAGACATCGCAAAGGACGTTGCTGCCGTTACGCCAAAAAAGGGAAGTGGGCGGAAGTCGCCGTTTCGGCGATCTGGAAGCACGCAAACGAGCTCCAGCATGAAAGCCAGCACCAGCACTAGCAGTGTGAACGCGGACTCGGGCAGCCCGTGCACGCCCAAAACGAGCCGTCTGTCCATGGAGAGCATCGGCAGCGGCTCGCCACTTAAGTCTCGCCGCAGCCGCGGAGTACACGTCAGTGACACGTGCGATATCGAGAAGCGCGACAGGCCACCAGCACCATTGCCTGAGGGGCGGGTTGATCATGGCAGCGCGATGCCCCCATCGCCTTCGCCACGTCTGACCCGTCAGGCATCCGTCGACGGCGCGCCCAACGCAGGCCGTTCGGAAACGCCACCCGTCTCCAACGGCACGCTGCAGAACAGTGTAGAGTCTGCCGGCGGCGGTAGTAATAGTACTGCTGCTGATGGTGGTGCTGGGTATAGTGCGACGGCCAGCCCTGTCTCTGACCGCAGTTCAGTGGCGGCCTCGTCGTCGGCCGCCGGTATTCGCCGCCTGTCCTCCGCCCTGTCCTTGAAGGTGCGCCGCAAGAGGGGCACTCGCGGCGAGGAGAGAAGCACCCTGGCCGAGGTGGCCGTGTCTCCGCTCCCCGAAGCGGAGTCTGCCAAGAGCAGCATGGAGCGTGCTGCGTCACCTCTGGACGCACGGCCGGCAATGGCCGACTCCCCGCCCCCGCCAAGCCCGCTATCGCATCCCTCTCCGCTCGTCGACAGCTCCATTAGCGGCGGCGTTGGGGAATCCGGTTCAAAGGCATCATTCTGGAAGGCCTCAAGGCTATCTAACTTTGTGGCAAGCAGACGAAAGCCTAACTCCTTCAACTCACCGCCGCAAAGCATCTGTGAGTACAGCTTATGTTTGATCGCCTGGCTTGTGTAGAGGCCTCTATTGAATGCAGTACTGTCGGTCACTGAAGAGCGGGGGGGGGGGGGGGGGGGGCAGTCTCGTAGCCTAGACCGTTCTTAGACCGTCCAGTCTATGCACAGACACCGTGTGTACATCGCTACTGTCAAACGGGTAACTATGGCGACGTAACCATGTTTGCGAATTTTGCGAGAAGCCCCCGAATCGCAAACTCGCACAATGTAAAATTCAGTGCAAGGACTGACTCGACTGTGGAACGACTCGCAAACATTAAAGGGGAAGTTAAGGCAAAAATTAAAATTTCACCAGTTGTAGTCTTCGGGGTGCTGAGTCGAATGGTCTTGGTCTGAGAAAGCTAAGACGCTCCCTTCCTACTTGAATCCCAATCGAACTCGCGCACTTCCACCGAAACTGGGTGACTGCGCCCTACTAGATGGGGATTTGTATGCAAAATGTCACTAAAAGCGCCATTTCGTTCTTATAAAAGCACGGATGACCGCGATTGGCCCATATGTTGTAGTCTTTTGGACGCTGAGTCGACTGGTTTTGGTCCAAAAAGGCTGCGATGCAGCGTTCCTCCTTTATTTCCAATCGAACATGGTTGAACCAGTGGTCACGTGCTCCTGGGTGCCCAAATCACCTGGTCACCACGCCAGCAGGCGACAACTTTCACACCAAGGTTCAACTCGAGTTCAACTCGAGTGACAGGACTGCACCCAAAAAAGGTCAAACAGGCTAGTAAGTTGTACCCTGCAGGCACGGTGACCAGGTGACTGGCGTACGCAGGAGCACGTGACCGCTTGTTCAACCATGTTCGATTGGGAATAAAGGAGGAACGCTGCATTGCAGCCTTTTCGGACCAAAACCAGTCGACTCAGCGTCCAAAAGACTACAACATATGGGCCAATCGCGGTCATCCGTGCTTTTATAAGAACGAAATGGCGCTTTTAGTGAGATTTTGCATACAAATCCCCATCTAGTAGGGCGCAGTCACCCAGTTTCGGTGGAAGTGCGCGAGTTCGATTGGGATTCAAGTAGGAAGGGAGCGTCTCAGCTTCCTCGGACCACGACCAATCGACTCAGCACCCCGAAACCTACATCTGGTGAAATTTTATTTTTTGCCTTAACTTCCCCTTTAAACAGCGAAAGCCAGTCTCAATTTGTAAAACGCAAACATTTATTGTCGCAAACATTACCCGTTTAACAGTATGCTGTGCTGGGTGAAATTCTAGCCTGGTCGTTCTTCGGCGGCCACCAGTAGCACTGTACACGTCATGCCTAATGTTCAAAACGAATCTTCAGAACTCAGCCTGATCTTGTGTCGACATCAATTGAAATACTGTAGTGCCAGCTTTGAATGCACGCCTAAGTCTCAGACTGGCTTGCACTGCACGCCAGCGAATACTTGACCTACTCGATCAGATTTCATTTTTTAGAAGCAGCCCTGCACTAAGATAGTGGCACAGTCGGACCTCGTTTAACCGCACACATCCGTTTTCCACCAACATATCCTGATAGGCGAGGGAGCCGGATAATCGAACACGCATACTGTATGTAAGCGTGAAATATGCTCTAAATCTGTAACCAACTATTTTCTTCCGGATGGCGAACGATCCGGATAAAAGAGGACGGGATAAGCGAGGTCTGACTGTACTCCTGGCTCCATTCTTGACATACATGGACATAAAAATAAAAAAAATTATTTTTATGAAACCGTGAAATATATTTTTATATTTCATTTCACGGTTCGCGTGAGGCTCGGTTTATCTATATAGAGGCCGAGTTTTCCGCATCCGGGGGAATGCCTCTACCCTTCAAGAATCAAGGCGCAGGCGCAGCTCCTAAACGCGGTTGGAGGCGAGTAGATCAGATCACCACCAGCAAGTGGTCAAATACCGAAAATCCCATTCACTGCATCCATGTTTTCCACGAGCCAGGCCACGAGTTCTTAATTAACTGTCGGTCGCAGCACGGCTGGAAAAAAATCATGAACATAGAAGTACCGGATTTGAAAAGGGGCCTGATTTGAATAGAAGCCTATCCGTGATAGCGGCTGCTACAGGGATATGTACTATCTGTGACTGTGGCGACCACCATTCAATGTTTCGTCCTCCTCTAACCGCACCCCAACTCTCTCTCTCTCTCTCTCTCTCTCTCTCTCTCTCTCTCTTTCTCTCAGCTCTCTTTTTATCTGTCTTTTCTTCATCTTACTCTTTTTTTCTTTGTCAGTTTTCCTGGTGGTTATGTGCTTTTCAAGTAAATAAAAAAAATGTTATTCACTGGTTCGTGGGAAAGATGCAAACGGGAAAAGTCTGAAGAAAAAATTGACTGTCACCACCAGGACTCAAACCAGGGACGTTCGCTTGAGGCCAGCGATGCTCTAAACCCTGAGCTATGGTGTAGTCTTCATCCCAGCAGAGACCGTTCAACACCTGAAACGCCTGGCTTTTATTACCGGTACTATATTGTTGTACCATGGAAAATGCGGGCACAAGTTATGCGATCGAGTCCACCAAGTGAACCAGATTTTGAAGAGTCAGATTTTCCCATGTTACGATTTTTTCCTTGGCTCGCCACCCGAGTTCTTATTACATTGTTGATGTTGTTATTGTGTACCGTGTCATGCCTTGTCCAGCTCCAGTGGAGGATGCATCGCCGTCAGCTAGCAGACCTCGTCACATTACTCCATCTCCGGGCGGCGAAGTGGCAGACGGGCAGGTGAGAAACCGTTACCCGTTACTCTAGTTTCAGAAATTTTCAGTGCTCAATATTTTCGCTATGGGGCAAAAGGCCAGGTTAGGTGAACAGAAAATTTAGGTCCAGAGAAGCAGTTGCCTATTGGTCATGTGTGTTAGTGTTTGTTCGGTGTATTGAAATTTTAGGTATCAAACAGATGCACCGAAAGTACCAAAAATATAAGTACACCGAAAATTTGTGAAATTACAGTACTCTTGCCATGTCCCGCTTCCGTACTCCTTGCCTTCAACGGAGTTTTGATGTTCAGTTTCCCATTTGCAAGTATGCTAGAATTCGACAAGTGCCTCTGGCACAGGCTCACGCATCTGTTGTGTGTACTGGGGACAGACCATGCCGTGCGAGTCATAGTGTGTGTGTGTGTGTGTGTGTGTGTGTGTGTGTGTGTGTGTGTGTGTGTGTGTGTGTGTGTGTGTGTGTGTGTGTGTGTGTGTGTGTGTGTGTGTGTGTGTGTGTGTGTGTGTGTGTGTGTGTGTGTGTTCACCAGAAAAAGCCACTTCAATCAGCTGTGTGGTGGATACCAGGCTAGAAAATAGTGGCGGTCAATTCATCAGCCTTGCAAGCTGTTGAATGGTGTAATCCCATCACAAGTTGCTATGTCTAACATAGCTGTTCGCTATCATCGCTTCCGCGATGGGCATGTCTGAGGTCTGAGGTGTGTGTGTGTGTGTGAGTGAGCGTGTGCGTGCGTGTGGGTTGATTTCGGCCTGAAATCCATTGCATTCAAAACTGTCAAGCTTCCTTGCTAATGTGCCCTACCATTTTGTCTCAAGGCCAGTTTGATCATTGTCACGATGGCTCTTAGTTTTGGCCGGTTGGCAGTTGAATCATTATTGCGATGAGTCATCGCTAGCTGGTGTGATGTCATACAGAGTCTTATTCTGCTTGAACGATGTCATAGCCAGCCATGATCACTTCGTGTGTGTGATGTGATTTTCCACCCGTGTGTCTCTATCGTATATCCACTGCAGGCTGACAGCTCTGTCTTGGATGACATCACTGCAAAGTACCAGCGTCTGGCTGAGGCTGAGAAGACAAAGCGAGAGGAGGAACAGAACACGGTCACAGATGGTGTTCAAGCGGAAGACTCTACGGAAGCCGTGCGCATGAAGCAGGCCGAGAACGAGGCCATCTTCTATCAAGCTAAGCGACAGCTTGAGTTATTGCTCTCCGAGCCGCCGGTTAGTATGCACATTGGAGGGTGTTTGAACGCGAGCATGTGGGTGTGTGGGTGTGTGGACAGGACATGTGTGTGTGTGTGTGTGTGTGTGGGTGTCGAGTGTTGCCGACTGTGTAAGGGGCATTGCGTGCTTCTGGCCAAATCCTGACTCGTACAGTCAGACCTCGCTTAACCGCACACATCTGTTTTCCACAAAAATATCCGGATAGGCGAGGGAACCGGATAACTGAACACACATACTGTACATGCATGTGGCATGTCAAAAGCAGTGACATCGTACATACATGTAGACGGGTCTTATGCAATATAACTAGCGTGCACAGTATGTAAAACAAGCGAGAAAAATGACAAGTGCATGCAACTGAGTGCTGTCCGCATGCACCCAGCAGGTCAAGGACCTCATTTGCTTGTACAACTCCCTGATTCTAGCTTCTGCAAGCCACATGCAACCGGATACGACGAAGCTTTTTGTACACATTTTAACCAGTTCGTACACAAAATCATGCACCGGTATGCGGATCGCGAGGTCCGGTTATGTTGTATGCATAACATATGCTGCACATCGGTAACCAGCGATTTTCTTCCGGATGGCGAGGGATCCGGATAAACGAGGACCGGATAAGCGAGGTCTGACTGTAGTTCCTGATGGAAAACATATACGATGATGTCATTCGATGATGTCATTGTTTGAATTGTGTTGTGAGTGACAGCACTGTCGTGCCTATACTTCAAAATAAGTACAAGGCTGGGTTTCATGTGTAGACACAACGGGTTTTCTCCCCTTGTGTTTTCAGGTCAGTGGAGTTGCGCAATACGCCAGCACAGTGGAAGAGCAGTACTCTGAGCTGCGATTACCCGTGCATGCACCAAGCAGGATGGTGGTAAAGACACTGCTGCAGGAAGAACTGGACTCGGCTCACTATTGGTCAGAGGATGAGAAGGCCATCGAGACACGCGACACGCTGAATCTGATCGGAAAACTCGGCCAAGAACAGTGAGTTGTTGCAATACGCTCATTGAGCAATGTCCGTAGTTTGTACCATTGACACCCCGCACAGCCACCTTGTGTTGGTTGTGTTGGTTGTGTGGGGTATTGAGCAGTGCATTTCTGATCCATGGTTGTGAGGGTGCTGAACAGTGCATTAACTGTTCTGTGTCCTCTCTCTCCCTCTCCCTCTCCCTCTCCCTCTCCCTCTCCCTCTCCCTCTCCCTCTCCCTCTCCCTCTCCCTCTCCCTCTCCCTCTCCCTCTCTCTCTCTCTCTCTCTCTCTCTCTCTCTCTCTCTCTCCCTCTCCTCTCTCTCTCTCTCTCTCTCTCTCTCTCTCTCTCTCTCTCTCTCTCTCTCTCTCTCTCTCTCTCTCTCTCTCTCTCTCTCTCTCTCTCTCTCTCTCTCTCTCTCTCTTGCAGGCTGGACCAGATGCTACAGGAGTTGGCAAAGGAATGTCGGCAGAGATCATTCTATGCGGCGTACTTGTTACAGGTTAAGCATGGACTGGTGGCTGCTGCTAGTTACCTGGAGAACATGTCCAAACACATCCAGCGGTAAGGAGATCACGCCAACACATTGTGTTTCGTTACGCAATTCTCTGATGATTGACTCGGCACCCAACCACGATATCTTCCAATTGGACTCCTCTCACTGTCATGTATTTTAACGTGATGTCATCCATGATGTCATCCATGATGTCATCCATACAACAAGTAACAACAAGTAGAAGAGGATGGCTATCTCGTTGCAACTCCAAGTTTCATGCACGAGGCGATGATCAGACAACAGTACTGAGATAAATCTGGATGCTGGTGACCTCATACATACATGTCTTCTACACAAAATCAGCTGACCGATACAGTCTATTTCTACAGAGTTGATCGGACACAGTAAAATTCCTTCAGTTTCACCTCAGAGTGAATTGGTTCTGTACTGCCTATATCTTCCTGTCTGTCCCAGGACCCAGTCGACTGTGCAGCTGCTGTTTGCATCGTCGTGTGCGCGCAGCTTTGTGGAGAAGCATTCTAGCACCATCGATGCATTTGTAGAGGACTTTAACTCCCTGCAGATGGTGGATGAAAAGGTAGGTGATCAATGACACCCGTCGTGTGTCTCACTCCATGGAAATTGTGTCTTGTCCTCTGATAAGAAAGTAGTAGTGCAGTAATACCTCGTTTATCCGGGTGGTCCGGGAACAGGCCCTGCCAGTAACTTTGAAATGTCAGTACCTCCCAATCACATACATGCTGATAGGAAAAGGCCGTAGATATGGCATATTGTGTCACTATTTCCACAAAAGTGACAAAAAGCGATGATATTTCCACTGAGACTCACCCAAAGGGTGCCCAGTAGACCGAAGTGCCCGTAACTTTTCACTGAGCAGCGCTTATATTCTCGTGTGTATTTGTGTGTATTCGTGTGTGTGTGTGTGTGTGTGTGTGTGTGTGTTTGTGTGTGTGTAAATGTGCAGAGTGTTGCCGTGGAGGACTTCCTCTCTGAGCTGTGTAGTCAACTTGACGATGAGACCGTCTGGAGAGGTAAGTTCCACTGTGGCCTTCAGATGATGATGTAATCTCATAACCTCTACACAAACTGCATCTGCGGTCAGACCTGCTTGGGTTTGAACATTCCTACAAATGCGGAACAGCGGGTTTGATTGACCCCGACACTAACGGCGAAAGGTATATGTGCAGAATTATGAAGTGAAAAAAGCCAGATGGCGTGGAGAAAATGCCGCAAAAGACAAGACCCCTGGCTTCAGATTGGCAAAACCTGCCTGCCGATAACATTATTTATATAATCACTGGTGTGATATCGTGACCTTCTTTACGCCAAGGTTACACGAGCTGCACACCGCCACTTCATTTATCTGGTGTCAGGTGCGACGCAGTGTGACTGGAGTGCAGTGGAGCGAGCATCCGCACTCTGCAGTGCAGTGTCCTGCAAGCGGCAGACAACGTTGTGTCGTCCCCTGTGACCTCTTTGTACTGCCCCGTCGACTTCTCAGAGCCACGAAGGAAAACGGGACTCAGATCTACAGTAGTACTGGTAGCAGAGGAGAGAATAATTTGACAAGCCAGAGTTTAGAAGTAAGGGTGAGGCTTCTTGCAGTCTCATTCAGAAGAAAGGCGTTTAAAGCTGACACGCTCATTCCCATCACTCTGCAAAACACTGAACACTGTTTTCGTATCGATTTCAGCAACGTTTAGGCATTTCACCATCATTCAGTCAATATGCATGCTAGGCAAAGGAGCAAAACCTGTGATGTTACTCACAGCTTTACAGCACTGGAGTTCACCGTACGTCGAATGTAGACTAATCTCTTGCGCACACGCAGTCTAATTGCATCAACCTGCTGTGTGCCACTATACAGCAGTGCAGAGGCCACTGTTGCTCACTGCTACACTGCCTGCCCTGTTGGGCAGAGCCAGGCCAGCAGAGTGAAGTCATGCGCGCACTTCCCTTTGTCCTGGACTGGGCAGCTTGCCAAGTAGCTAGTGTAGTAGTGTGCGCGTGCGCTCTCAATTATCTACGTGCACATGTATGCTCACACACACACTCATATACACACACACACGCGCGCACACACACACACACAGAGCTTTGTGATTGCACACAGCTACGGAGATATCTTTTAAAACCTCCAATCTGATACGCCAGAACGTGCAGACAGTTGTCTGTCAGGGGAAACATTCACCATCCACCTTTACACTGTCACCGTGTGTGTGTTCAGTGTTCTTTACCTAAGATATTGTGTTATCAGGATATGAGAGTGTTGGTGCTTGGTATCCTTAAGTAAGCTGTGCCCGCGGCCGGGAAGGGGGGGGGGGGGATGTCTATGTGAATTGCAGCGACTGGTCCCTCACGGTCGTGATTTACAGCACTGTTTGTGAGAGTGCTGGTGCCCAGGGGATTGTTTTAGCAGGATACGATAGTGTTGCTGCTGGACAGCCTTTAGCGAGGCTGTGCCTGCGGGGCATGCCTATGCAGACTGCCGCGACTGTACATGGTCCTCGTGTGGTAGTGATTTACAGCGTTGTTTGCGCGCGTAATTATAGCTTGCGGTCGGCGCATCTTGCGTCCGCGTCATGCATTGACCTTTTCTGGCCGGACAAAGATTGAACAAATCCGGGTCATCGGAAACGATGCTATGCATCACTGGTGTAAAGTACACTGCTTCTCATTCCGTTAGTACTTGCACCGCCATTTTATAGCGGACAGCCAGCCACGAACAATGTCCGAAAGGATGCTATCTGTTTGATATGGTGACAGGAATCATCTTGCCAGATGCAACTAGAATGAAGTTGAGGACACCAATGCAGCTGTACTTGTGGTTGATAAATACGGTGGTCAACACACACCTGGCAATATGATGCAACTAGGCTCCATTTCTTGTTGTTGTTGACGGTAGTCGTAGTCGGCGATGCATACAATCAATCTGATTGCGGGTGACCTCTGATTCTTGCTATTGCGTCGGAGATTCCTTGGTAGGAGTGCTTGCATGTTAACATCAGTTAGCAAGAAACAGGAGATGAAGCGTGATCTACATCGATGACTATGACTGTCTGATGAAACCAATGGATTGCAGGTCATCACATTGATCGTGACTTGACCTTGTGCAATGTTTTCGACGGGTGCTGCACCCAGATATCATTCTCTGTGCTATCCGCTGGCTCATGCGTTCGCGCTTGACTCGATCCTGACATCCGACACGCAGCTGTTGAATGTCGGCCCGCCTGTGTCGAGGCCACCCCTGGAGCTTATGGGGATGTGTCATCCCTTGCAGGCTTACACACACCTGCCTGAAGGCACGCGGCAATCGCAATCCTCCAGTTCGTATACCACCTATCTATCCGTTACACCATCCATGCAGCAATCCATCCTTCCGTATAATCCTTCAATAATTACACAACTGTGTAATCGTTCATGAAGGCTTTAATCAGAAAGTCTACCTTTCTGTCCATCCATCCAGCAATCCATCCATCCATGTATCCAATCCATCAATTATGACACAGCTGTGTAATTCTTTGCGGAGACTTCTAAATCAGAAAGGCTACCTTTTTATCCATCCATCCATCCATCCGTCAATCTATCCATCCATCCTACCTTCCGTGTATCTAATCCATCAATTATGCCACAGCTGTGTAATCGTTTACTGAGACTTCTAAGTCAGAAAGCCTACTGTTTTATCCATCTATCCATCCATCCTGCCTTCCCTATATCTAATCCTTCAATTATGCCACAGCTGTGTGATCATTCAGAAAGCCTACCTTTCTTTCCATGCACCCACCCACCGATCGATCCATGCACCCATTTATCTATCTCGCTAGTCCGTAGCATATGCACAAAGAACCGGGCTTTCTTGACCAGGTGGTGGTTCTATAGGACTGATACCAATATCTGAAGGTGATAGTGCCAACATGGTGTTGTACTCGATATGATTAGTCTCTAAAAGACAGGTGGTCACTAGGGCAGGTGGCCACTCCATGTGCAATGTACTGCAAGACATGTATATAACGAGGAAGCAAATCTAACGTTTTAACGGACGACATTTCTTCGTTATAATAAGATCCGTTGAGGCCATACTGCTTCATATATGCTGTGTGTGGATATGGCAGAATACTGCAAGATCGTTAACATATCTTCTCGTTAACCTATGAATTTTGGACAATCGTTAAATTTGCGACTCGTTATAATAACATGTCTTGCAGTAGGTGTTGCCACTTTCCATTCCTCGGCCCACCGTCAGCTTCTTGTACATCTGTCAGCCTCAGTTGGGATAAGGATATGCAATCAGGATAATTTATCTTTCCATTCTCCATCCGAGTCTATTCAGGACAATAGTTATAGTTCTAGCCCTGGCTGATCATGCAACAAGGTGCAGAACACGGTTTGCTTTCTAGCAAGGCGTGTGCATAACCATTTGGGATGTGTGTGTGTGTGTGTGTGTGTGTGTGTGTGCGTTTGTGTGCGTGTCCCTGATGGACCGATGTCACATCAACCTGACCACGCTGTTGCTGGCTGTGTCCCTGGCCTGCTGTCTGCCATGTGGTGTTCCAGTGATGAGTGGGAGATCACGGCACCCACCAACAAGTACAGTGCGTGTGTGTGTGCATTCACACACACACACACACACAACGTGGCATGTGTGCTGACTCACCGCTGCGTCAATACAAAGACCTCCATGCGTGTGCGTACGCTGTTAATAAAGTCCGAGTGAGCTCTATTTAGACCCACACACATGCAAAAATCTGTATGGAACTATGAATCGCTGCCATGAATACGTTAGGACGTGTAGTTTGAAGCGGATCTGGACTCCTTTACTTGTCGCTCATATTTCAGGCGGTGATTGGTGGTTCTCCAACAGCAGTAACGATTGATCAATATGTGGTGCCACTGTCATTAGGCGATTCTGCCTCGTCTGGTTGCCACTCGAAATAAATACAAATTACAAAATACAATATAGTCTTGACATGTCAGCGAGGCTGCGAATGGCCTGTCGATTCAACCTTGCTTTCCGACCTGCCTTCGAGGCCAGCGTTGTCTTCGTGACCTCCCGGTTCCACGTTTCATGGCTGCACCTGCTCGAGTCATGAGCTCCGTTTGTCTCCTGCTAATCAGCATGAAAAGGCCAGATGCTTTCTGTCCTTTCTCCTTTCCCATCCACTACCACGATTTGTTTGTGTTCTCCTTTCGGCCCGGGGCTTCCGCTTCCCTCCTTCCTTGTTCTACAAACGATTGGCTGTTGTGTGTTAGTGGTTTTTCCAATGCATTCACTCTGCTGCTTTGACGGGCAGTCATTGGGCGTGCACGTGTGTGTGTGTGTGTGCGCGTGCGCGTGTGTTTCTGCCACTTCTACTGCTGCTGCCGTGTAAAAACTGACTGGCATCATCTGTGCAATGATCTCCTGCTATATCTCCCTTGACTCCCTTGCTAAAATTGCAGTCAATTGTTGTGCCGCACTTGCAGTGTTCTGTTATTACATGATAATTATTGAGAGTGGTAATTGAGTCAACGATGCACCTCAATTGTGTACAGTCCATGAGCTGCTGGCCAGTATGAGTGCAGCCTACTAACTTCAATCACTCAGTCTTCATAGCCACTCTATCCCATTGCTGATGTGTATTGTTTGTCCTCCTGGTTACTTGCTCCCTTGGCTTGGCTGTCCTTCAAATTACCAGCTTCTTGGCTGAGAGCAGTAGGTGAACAATGCGTTCAATGAGGCGTGTAACGATGTGTCTTGATGTGTCATTGCACTTGCACTTGCTCGGCAGCTCTTCTAGTACTGTATCTGCTAGCCTATGATTGAGTGCACCAGCACCAGCACCACCAGCAGCAGCAATTCTAATGCCAACAGCAGCAGCAACCACGTGGTGTAGCGCTGTTCTGTGTTCTAGTGTTGCTTCTGTTGCCCAATGGGCAAGTGTGGACATTTGCTAGTCATGTTACCTGTTGCTGCTGTTGTTGTTGCTACTACTGCTGGTAATTGTGGTGTTGCTGCTACTGGTAATTGTGGTGTTGGTGCTACTGGTGCTGCTGGTGCTGGTTCTGCTGCTGCTGATGCTGCTGCTGCTGATGATGTTGCTTCTGCTATTGCTGCTGGTAGTGATGCTGATGAGATGCTGCTGCTGTTGCTGCTGCTTGGCACACCTCCTCCCTGGGATATAAAACCTGCGCTTTGTAGCTGGGGTACTCTATCTATCCAAGGTAAACAAAAAAAAACAGGAAAAAGAAACCCAGGGTCCTCCAAAACTACAGTACTGTAACTCCACTGTAAAGAGGCATGCTTGTTATGCCCAAGGCACTAGTACTGAAGTAAAACTCTACATGTAGTACTGAAGTAGTAGTAGTAGGTGTGCACTGTAAAACAAAGTGTACATTGGATGATAACATTTCACAGCCAACCTCTCTGACAGTAGGATATGGTTTTCGATTAGCACCACGCACAACCTATCCAGTTCAGTGGGTGATCAGCTATGCAGGCACAGCACTGGGTGCAGTACGCACAAGTCTACTTACAGATAATTAAACAGCTTTGGCGGACTGCCGGTGTTGAGCCGAGCTGGCCTCTCTTCATTGTCTCCTTTGTGCCTGGCTTGGGACACAGCAAGGCACTGATGCACGATCGCACTCCGAGCAAGACTGTGTCAACTTCTGCGCCGGAGGAGAGGTAGTGACACTTCTTATAAAGGAAGGTGTCCTGGGTGAAAGAAGCTCAGGCAGATGGCTCCCGTTGCCTGCCGGGAAAGGAAGCATGGCATGAATGGTTGACTTGGCGGGAATCCCCACTCCTGCTCGCATACATGCTTAGGCAAATTATGTTTATGAGGAGGCCTTCCAGTCCCAATACAACCGACTGCTCTAAAGTTCAATTTAGTGGCTATAATTTGGGATTGATCTGTAAGCTGGTAGTACGCGCTGTTCCACAGGGGTGAGGTGATTATATCCTGTTGGCCTGCACCTTATATACATGCACTGTCTTGCTGGGCACACGTCCAGTTTAGCTTTCTCCTGTCCAGAGGTTGGTTTGGTATTTCTCTCCTCTCGGCTGTGTGGTATTTTCCCTTCCCTCCTTGGGATTTCTAGTACCTGTACTGAAATCAGATTCCAGCTTTTGTGACCATGATTATGTCTACGCTCACTGCATTGACTTGCACACATGTGGGCATAGTGCTGTGCGTGCTCAGAGGCACGCTTTCCGCGAGCATCGCGTCGAACGAGATCCTAGCCCCGGGCTCGGAGACGGCCGTGGACACGCTGGATGCCGCTACGCTAAACAACCATCTCGAGGCGGACTTCGAGGACCTGCTGGCCCGGAACGCCACCGCCCCCGACCTGGGGTACGAGGTCCCCGACGACGCCGCCCACCGCGCCCCGTTCCGCTTTGGCCAGCCGGACCCGTACTGCCCGAGGCCGTCCATCAAGGTCTGCCTCAACGGCATGCTGATGAAGTGCACAATGAAGCGAAAGATCAAGATGCTGCGCACGCCGCGCGCCTGCGAGCTACCCTGCATTTTCTCCAGCCTGGACGTGTCGTTGCGCAGCGGCGAGCACTTCATCTGCCTGCAGCGCCACTGCAACACAGCAACGCCCGCCGCCCCGGACAACTGCCGCTGTCTCAAGTGCCACAACGGCAATCTGGTCGCCTACATTCGCCGAAATGTCTGACACCGTAGTATCACTGTGTAGAATTCATAGGCCCTGGCGGGAAACACCCTCGCCATCTTAACTTCCTGAAGATAGTCGTTCCGCTGTGCTATTTGAGTTTTACCAAACGGATCGGGAACGCACTCAAAGCGGCTAGCAACCTTTTATTCCTTGCTCGCACACAGAGGACGAGCATTTCATTGCTTGTGTGTTTGAGTGTCTGATCTACTCTAGAATTCCAACCCCCAATCTCGTTCTACTAGCTAGGATCATGCGACTTTCAAATTTTCGTAATTTTCAATTTTCCGAATGGTGGCGGTAGGGTTCATGATAGTGATATGTACCTCGGTGCTGCCCAGTGCGTAGCATACGTGCGTGCCTAGCGTCCCCATAGTAACTGTTCTAGGCATGTTTGACTGGAGTGTAATCCTTTGACTCTACGTCCTTCTTTGCTTGGCGTCGGCGATGTAGGCAAGGGACTTTGGTGTGGGGAATCCCGGATACAACGTATTCTCTCTTTGTGTAGGATATCTGCGTACTGTTTTGAGGATGCTGCATATCCGTTTCCGTTCATTCGGCATTGGGTGTAGAGCATCATGACCGCAGGTGTGGGTGATTTATAATGTCCCTTTAAAAGAGACGTGTTGCTGTGCTGTGTTCCATTGAGCTGGTGTTGGTTAGACTAGGTGTAGTGTTGTGTTGTCGTGTGGTGGAGCGGCGTCTACTTAAACTAGGGTGTTTTGTTATTATCGTTTTGCTAAGGAGTTGACTATTGCGCTGTCTTTAAGCTTTCTTTCAGCTTGTTCCATTTCATTTTTGAGTTTTCCTTGTTCCGCGTGCATTCTGCACCGGACGGAGCGGAGACGTGGCATTGTGATCGGGTTGTGTGCGCGTGTGCGTGTGTGTGTGTGTCCTATTTAGTGTCACCATGAAGCGTATGGATTACCTTTCACCGTTCTCTGCATTAATGTTTATGGCATTGTCTACCCAATGCTGTAGACAGCAAGCTGTTTCGGCCATGAAGGCCTCATCAGCACAGCTACGAGCTTAATAGGCCGAGCTACCAGCCATGGTGCAAAGGAGGCGCCACAGACACTAAGATCGCTCGTCGCTCTAGCGCCAGAGTGCTCAAACTACGAAAAGTAGCGGGCAACAATGCGTGGCATAGTTTAAAAAAATATGATAAATCCCTTAAGCAGCACAACCTTTGCCACCACTACCACCAGCAATGGGTAGTTAACGGGTTGCCAATTGGCCGCAGTGGAGGTTTTGTACACGGGGAAGAGTATATTCAGTAGAAAAAGTGGGCATCTTGTGGGCTCGGTCTACTCTAAAAAGCACTTTACTTTAGTCCAGCCTGTACTTGAATGGCAATGTCAGACATCTGCCTGAGCAGCCAGGTGAAATTGTCAATTTTCCATGATGTCTGACAGGTATTTGAAATTTTGAATGTGTCTACCACGTGTAGCACCATGTCAACCTGCCTGTATGAAACATCTGCAGTTCATTCATCTGAAGCTGGAAATATGACTTTTTGGTGTCTCACGCATACTTACTATAAGATTCTTCCTGGCTATCTCTGGGGCCGGAAAAGACCAGGAATAGGGAGTTCTGAATTTGGCCGGGTTTGAGAATATTCAGAGAGTTAAGCCGTGGTCAGATGTATGGATAGGCAGGTTCTAAACCCAGATTTTTTGAATTTGGAGTGGGTTTGGGGGTGCAACCAAGATTACTCAATCTCCAGACTCTGGCTAGTTTTACTTTCTAAGGTCTGATCAGCGGAGCGTCGAGTGACTGATCACAATCAATTCTAGTCGGAACTAAGTTTTTTTAAATATCAGCTCTGTACATCAAGGTCAGAGTGATTCAACTGCGAGAAATACAGCTAACTTTACATGAAAGCATAAAGGCCTTCACACAGGCTACGGATACAATTTAAACATTCTTTCAAATAAATGTCTCGTTCCTTCTTTATCTTCCACCCCTTTCTCTCTCTCTCTCTCTCCCTTCTCTCTCTCTCTCTCTCTCTCTCTCTCTCTCTCTCTCTCTCTCTCTCTCTCTCTCTCTCTCTCTCTCTCTCTCTCTCTCTCTCTCTCTCTCTCTCTCTCTCCAGCCATTTCTCCTTCTCCCCTCTCTCTCTCTCTCTCTCTCTCTCTCTCTCTCTCTCATGCTCTTCTTGCCATAACAAAGTTCAGGATATCAAAAAATGAATTAATCGCCTCCTGTTTGTACGATCTCTATTCTGTCATGTGTGTGTTTCTCCGTGTGTATGTGTGTGTGTAGGCATGTCAGATGACGAGTGGCATTCCGGGCAGTTGGCCGTCGAGCGGTACTGCTTTGGCAGGATTTACCGCAGTGCATTCTGGCCGAACGGCGAGACCGACAAGCTGCGAGACAGGTGCGTATTCTCCTCCCCCGGCCACCGCCGCTACAGTACTGTCGGTCACCGAAGGACTGGGGAGTCTGCCTCTTAGCCTAGGCCGTTCTCATTTTCATATGCTGCAGCCAATACCAGGGCTGCCACTTGCTCCGATTCTTCGGAAATCATCAGATTTTTGATCGCCTGTCCGACAAACCGACCGATTTTGTTCCCAAAGAGGGACAACCGATTATTGTATTTTGAGCGCTTTTTAGTCCAGTTGGCCATTACTTCATAATTGACATGGTTGTAGTGCGTGTGCTGGACAGTTAAACATGTGTTCTGGGGCCCCAACAGCAAGCCATTTTCCTAAAAAAAATGTCACCCTGCAATACGCAGTCGAGTCACCGTGAATACACTGGTATGCTGTGTTGTGTGAAATCCTAGCCTGTTCGTTCTTCGGCGCCCGACAGTACTGCAGGGTCTCTGGTGAAAGTTTTGAACTGCGCATCGACTGCATGTCAAGTTCCGTACACATATTAGTTTCATCATGTTTGAGCAACACCATAGTCACACAAAGTATCAATTCTCTAGCAACTCCTTCGTGTCAATATTGAGGATTTCATGACCGGGATGTTTTCGCCCAAGGTTGTGAAGGAGGCGCCGTGTGTCTCTGGCCGTGGTTTACCCTTCATATGTGTGTGTCCACATTGATTGATTGATTTTTATTTCACGGATCCTCCAGAGGCAAATAGATGCCTATCGAAGGGAGTCTCCGAAGTAAGTATGGAAAATGAGAAAGTATGTTCGTAAGGGAGAAGAGGTAGAAGATACATTAGAATATAGAGTACAGAAGAAGTAAATTCAGTACTTCGGGTAGTACATTGCATGCTAATCATAATGAGAATTAAACATGGGTGGGTGGGTGTATGTGTGTGTGTGTGTGTGTGTACTCTATATTCTAATGTATCTTCTACCTCTTCTGCCTTACGAACTGCTTTCTCATTTTCCATACTTACTTCGGAGACTCCCTTCGATAGGCATCTATTTGCCTCTGGAGGATCCGTGAAATAAAAATCAATCAATCAATGTGGACACACACATATGAAGGGTAAACCACGGCCAGAGACACACGGCGCCTCCTTCACAACCTTGAGCGAAAACATCCCGGTCATGAAATCCTCAATATGTGTGTCCCATATGGTGCAGTGGTATGTGCAGCGATTTCCAATCGATAGATTGCGGGTTCGATTCCCGACGATTATGGTCACACACGTCTTTCTTCTCTTTCTCAGACTCTTCCTGACTTTTCTTTCATTCTCCTGGGTGGTTACCAACAGCCAGTGCATGCCGGAGTATGTGGTGTGATGTGTGTGCGGGAAAAAAAAAATGAAAAAGACCAAAAAAGGGATTCACTGGCCAGAAAATGTCACTCCAAATAGCTGTATGGTGTAGACCAGGCTGAATAGTGACGGTCAATTCTTCAGCCTTGCAAGCTGTTGAATAGTGTAATCCCAGCACAAGTTGCTATGGCTTCTGCCGTAGCATTGCTATCATCGCCTCCGGCGATGGGCGTCAAAGGTCAAAGGTGTGTGTGTGTGTGTGTGTGCATGCGTATGCATGCGTGTGTCTGTGTGTGTCTGTGCCTGTGTCTGTGTGTGTATGTGTGTCTGTGGGTGTTTGGGTGTGTCCATGTGCATGCATGCATGTGCACCTGCATCTACGCCTGCTTACTCTTTCCAGGCTGATCCGCGAACACATTGAGAGCCTGACAAAGTCCATCACCGTCTTCCACAAGTCACTGCAGATTGCACCGGTAAGCACGATGCGTGCGGCCATTACTAAAATGCAGCCGCGTTCCCCGTGCGCGGCGGCGTCTATGGGTCTATGTTACCAGTACAGTCAGACCTGGCATAACCGCACACACATCCGTTTTCCACAAAAATATCCGGATAGGCGAGGGAACCGGATAATCAAACACACATACTGTATGTATGCATGGCATACACTGTAAATCTGCAACCAGCTATTTTCTTCCGGATGGCGAGGGATCCGGGTAAAAGCGGACCGGATAAGCGAGGTCTGACTGCATTTTATGAGACCCTGGTTCTAGTGCTGGTCTATGACAGTCCGGGTTTTTCTTCAGACTTTTCCCATGCCCATAAACTGATGAATGTATACCCGTGGTGGTACTTTATACTAAGACAGAGCCTAGTACACCACACAGTATGACACTGGAGCAGTGTTAGTAGCAGTGTTAGTATACAGTCCACTCCACTTATAACTCGCATGTAGCGAATATCGTGATAATAATTGCAGCGAACCGTTGTCCATGTGCCAGTTTGAACCCACAGTGTTAGTGCATTTCTGTGACAACAAACTTTCTCACCTGTCTAACTGGCTTTCTGTCTGTTCATGCTGTCTGTCCGTCTGTCTGTTGCTGGACTTGCCGATGTGTGTGTGTGTGTGTGTGTGTGTGTGTGTGTGTGTGTGTGTGTACGTGCGTGTCTATGTGTATGGTTATAGAAATACTGCGGCCAAGCTCCCTGGCCAGCGGCGGTGACCATTCTCAAGCAGCTGTGTCGCTACAAGGTATGTACATGCGTTAGGGTCCCTGTCTCCAGCACGACGTGGCAATGTTCACGGTGCATTGGGGGTCCTGCCGGCCTAGCCTGTACTGGGTGTAATTCGATGATGTCATCTTCATTTGGTCCGTTGATTCATAGTACTAGTAGGTTCTTTCTTGGAGCAGACGAGAGCACACGCCGCTTGCGAACACCAGCATAAACAGTTCCCCAGCAACACTGTCATGCATGTATAGGCTGTAGAGGGTGATATAGGCTATTGTGAGTGCTATGGGTTGTAGCGGGTGTTTCAGGACCGGCGGAAGCAGTTTCGATCGGTTCGGCTATATCCCAGTCTCTCATACTGTAAAAGCAGAAATTTTCGCTGGTGTAATATTTTCGGTATTCGCCAAAATCGGCGGTTCGGTAGCGGGAAATTTTCGGTAACACCCGTTCTCCCGGTAAGTGTACTAGTTCTACATGTATACAGTATTGGTTGTACCGAAAATTTCGGTGCGTTTTATTTTCGGTAAAAATTGTCGGCACCGAAGTTACCGAAAATAAAACACCACCGAAAATTTCTGCTTTTACAGTATATTGCATTGGATATGGAGGGGATGCACATTACCTCCTCAGCATTAACCACACGTTGGTGGCCAAAAAATTGATCAGGTCACAGCCTGACCAGCTGGACTGGTTCCGCCGGGGCTGTGTCTAGGCTGTAGTGGGTGCTGTCGAAGAACACTTGACAAAGTGGCACTCCATTCATAGTAACTGGTGGCAGGCTGTGTAGTGCTTAGGCTGGTGGCGTCTGCATGCTTTGTACTAATGCTGCTGCTGATGTTGCTGTTGCTGCTGATGATGCTGTTGCTGCTGCTACTGCTGCTGCTGCTGCTGCTGCTGCTGCTGCCGATGTTGCTTGCAATGACCTCACCACCAATCCTGACATGACTTGTACCGGATGCTGTTGCTGTTATTCTCAGGCGCCCGTGGACAAACTGAACGTTGTGTCTGACTGCGCTCAGTGCATCATGCTGCTCCTGTCGCGCGCCAGTCGCTACTCGACGCTAAGCAAGCACCACGACGACGGCGTGGACGAGGCGGAGATCGAGCACTCGGTGCCGGGCGCCGACGATCTGTTTCCCGTACTGGTCTACGTGATCATCCAGGCCAATCCCCTCGCACTGCTGTCCACTGTGGCCTACATCGAGAACTACCACCGCTCTCGCATGCAGGGCGAGGCGTCCTACTGGTGGGCGCAATTCCAGAGCGCCGTCGAGTACATTAAGACGCTGAAGATCGACGCGTGATGCGGCACGAATCCAACCCCACTGAGGCGCGACACGTCGAGTATGCAGGCACACGAGCGGGCAAATCGTATCACCTCAGCCATAGTTCTTCTTCACAGGTCAATGCTTGCCCTGTGCAGTGCTCCCGTTGGCAGATCAGCATGGAACAGACAAGTGTGTGTGTGTGTGTGTGTGTTCGTTGAACTTCACAGGGTGCTATATCCCTGTGTGGTATGGGCCACTACCGACAGCACTACCCATGTGAATGTTATGTGTACAAGAATGCCGCTATGGTTGCCCTCGTCGCTATGGTTGCCCTCGTCAGAATCTGGCAGCACTAGTGGAGTTCGGTGACCAGAGCAGTCCGAGGTTTTGACCCCGTGCTACCCCACTATGGGGTTTGTCTTCAAATGATTGTGGCGATGCTAACTTATTCTTGTGTAGACGCAACATGCCCCCCCCCCCCCCGTACACACACACAAACAAGCATGCACACAAACAAGCATGCACACACACACACACACACACACACACACACACACGAATGCCGCAGGCATGCTCAAAGAAGCGTGGTCAGGCACGTACGCACAAGTGAGAAGAATTGAACACCTGCTACTGAGGTGTGGTGTTTTTTCAAGGCCCAACAACGTCTAGGCTCAAGAGCAACCTATTTTTGATGATTTTTTAATCTCATTCATTTTTTGAACCACTGTACTAGAACATTCTAATTTTGTTCTATTTTTGTTCTATTTTCAAATATATGGCGTGGGGTTTTAAAACTTCGAAAATATTTTTGATTTGAATGTCCTTGCACGCGTACCTCCATTTTCAATCCGAATGGTGTGTGACGATTGCTCTCGCCATTCTTTTTTGAAGATATTCTTTAGGCTTGCTTCCGGGGAACACTTCTATATAATGCATGGCTTGCAGTGCACCCGGCTGCCCCATAGTACACATCCAGCTGGTGCGTTTTGATATGCAGCATTCTTTCCGCACTGTTCAGCCGCAGACATACTGCCCATTGTCCTGCATCGCCCGATTTGTCCACGGTCCTTTTACGTTTTCCTCTTTCTCCTCATTACATTTTCACTATGTGCCGTGCTCGATTACAATCATCCATGACGACTGTTGCATGCCACTCCAGTCTTCTGGCTATGCAATTAACCAGATTCATTCTATTCTGTGTGGGGGGGGGGGTGGGTCTCTCTCTCTCTCTCTCTCTCTCTCTCTCTCTCTCTCTCTCTCTCTCTCTCTCTCTCTCTCTCTCTCTCCCCTTCTCTTCTCTCATTTTAAAATTAATTCGTTGGGTGTGAACTCGGATGGAGAGCCAAGGATTAACATTAAAATGAGAGAACCATAAGTTTACAAGTTATCCGTTTTGTCCAATACGTATCTAATATGACTGAGTACGAGGTCAATATAGGAAATAAAAGCCGAGTAAAAGACCGAGGCGAAGCCGAGGTCTTTTACGAGGTTTTTATTCCTATACTGACCAAGTTAGAAGTCAATATTAGATTTATCACGACAAACAGTCCGTATTTCAAATTCCAAAACGATAACCTCATGAATCCCGGTTTTATGATTGCACAACCGTTGCACCACCACCTACTCATGCAGTGACAATGCTGCACTAGGCACCGTTCAACTGCGCAACCCCTAAGCAGTCAAATATAAGCAGTCAATAGCCCTAAGGAGTGAAATATGCAGGAATATTTGACTGCTTAGGTATGGCAAAAATCTATGTGAGTCAATACTAAGGGACTGGGAGTGATAATAACGATGATAAGCAGGATACTGTTGGGTCAAAATGTGCAACAATTAGAACAAAACTGACTGATGTGATACTGACATTCAACGACATGATGCTTAGCTGCATCACGTCTGGAAAGCGCAAGCCAACACCATTCCAACTTGGAAGGTTCTAAGTTATGAAGTAACGTGAGAAAGGGGAAGGACTTAGGTGAGCGCACTCTAGACAAACCGTCCACTGTATTATTCCAGAAATGCAACAATTTCTGCCGCCATTATCGGCAAAGGGCCTAAAACACACACACACACACACACACCACCACCACCACACACACACACACACACACACTAGCCCTTTCCCAAAGATGCTCGCCACTTTCTCGCAACCTTTTGTTGTTTTGGAAGAAATCGCAACTTTCACAACTTTACCTCGGATGTTGAGCCAATTAAATTATGGTGAAAAAGGAGGGCAAAATGACGATTGTCTCAGTACTCCTTTGTTAGTTTTGTGCCATTTTGTCGCACTCGCTGACTGTATACGATCTGGTTACGTTGGTGGACAGTTAGTCATAACTCGTAACATTTTGTCCTTCTCCTTTTTCACAACTTTCTTCATTAAACTACTTCGAAGCTTTTTCCGCAACTGTATGCAGAGAAGCGCCTGGGATGGAGGAGACTATTGAAGGTCCGCTTCAACAATAAGCGCTGAAACATTGCATCAAATCATAGTGCCAAGTGTACTTCAACCAGTACAATGTACATGTACATGTAACACGTTTTTAGTTTATTATTATTATTATTATTATTTGAAACTCGGGTATTGAGCCAATAATAAAAAAAGTAGAAAGGAAAAGGACATATGGAAACGAGTTAAGAGTAACTCTCCACCACAGTAACTAGATATTATTATACAGTCAGAAAGTGCAACAACTAGGCACAAAACTGACAGAGTACTGAGACATTCGACGTCCTGACACCTGGCTTCAACACATCGTAGCGCTAACCGACAGCCTTCCAACTTGGAAGGTTCAAGGTTATGGAAAGACCAAAGAGGGGAAGGCAAGTGCAACGAAAACGAGCACAAGCTACAGTCCCAACGGAACAAAGAATGTCGATTGTTACTGGACGATGACGAGACCAGTAGGCGATTTGACAAAGCGGTCTAACTACAATTCGAAGCAGCAAAGCAGCACACCACCCAACTTGGGTGGGTCATAAATATCAAAGATAAGTAAAGAAGGGGGAAGCTTTGCGAAAACGAATTGTACAAGCCGAAAGCCAAATTCCTACAGTACTCCTCATGCATGACATTGTGATGGACTAGTTGACTACAAAACAAGTTGTTTCACGCGACGTACATTACTGTAGGAGTTTGTTGTTGCTGTTGTTGTTGTTGTTGTTGTTGTTGTTGTTGTTGTTGTTGTTGTTGTTGTTGTTGTTGTTGTTGTTGTTGTTGTTGTTGTTGTTGTTGTTGTTGTTGTTGTTGTTGTTGTTGTTGTTGTTGTTGTTGTTGTTGTTGTTGTTGTTGTTGTTTTGAATTCTTTTATTCTCACGATGGCCTGTGGCCAATAAGAGAGTTGTTGTTGTTGTTGTTGTTGTTGTTGTTGTTGTTGTTGTTGTTGTTGTTGTTGTTGTTGTTGTTGTTGTTGTTGCTGTTGCTGTTGCTGCTGCTGCTGCTGCTGCTGCTGCTGCTGCTGCTGCAGCTACTGCTGTGGCTGTAGTTACAGCCCCTCTCGTTGTCAGGAAATGTTTGCTTGTGCTACTTCTCATCCAGTTGACTTCTTATTATGACTTTGTATGTTATAATTTTCTTGAGCTCCGGTTTTCCCCTTCATTATCTCAAGCGCAGTTTAGCGTGTATTGGCTTGTGATTTCCTTTCTTCTGTTTGCTTGGCATTTTATCGCTCCACAGTCACCCTCGGTCTCAGATGTTCTCACATTTGTGCAATTGTTGATTTTGCTCCTGAATTGTCCTCCCTGTTGCTTTGCTACCGTCCTGTCCTCCTCCTTCCTCCACCTTTTTTTTCTTAATTGGCCTCATTATGGCATTCGCTTCCATGTAATTGGGCTTGTAGCCCGTGTGTACTTGGGAATTCAAATAAAAATATACATACATACATACTACGACTATCCACGGTTGGTAGAGCCCCGGTCTTGCGACCATCTGAACGCATGGGTGGGTGCTAGACCCGGTTCTGACCCTCATTATACTAGGGGGAGTTGCTCAAGTCTTCTTGTAATGTTGTTGTACCGCCGCGTTTGTTCTGAATTGATCTTCTTCCTTTTATTTTATACTCTTTCCTTTCTTTTTTTAAACTTATTATTATTGCCCTCAGTCATGTGGCCTTAGCCAGTATGCAATGTAAATACGGTTTGGGCGATTATCACCAGCCATGGTACCCATGGTAACCCCCTGGTAAGTGGTAACGAGGTTACATGTGGGTAAGGTGTGAGAATCTCAGTGTAGAGATACTTGTACACGGATAGAGAGAGAGCTGCATAGATCACAGCTGCATGCGCCTTACCAGACTGTCGCCATGTTTATCGCCAGGCACAGTCTTCCGCGCCGCTTCGCAGATCGTGAACTTGTCGCTGACAATCTGTTATAGTCGTCTGCCTTTTCCGTCAACGCAGGCATCCTCGCAGTTCAGATTCGTAGCCGTTACAGTGGCTGGTTACACTTCTGCTGAAATGGACGTCTTCCCTGAGGGGCCAATTACTCCACCTCCATTGGAGGATGTGCCCACCAATACTCCTGAGGAAGACTGCGCTTCCTTTCCCAGCGAGCTGGATGATCGCTGCGTCTATTGCCAGAGGTCAGCGGTATGTAGCAACAGCAACAACAGCAGCAGCAGCAGCAGCAGCAGCAGCAGCAGCAGTGCGCACGGCGTTCCCTTCAAAGTGTTGAGCTGTTCGCACGTTGTCTGCCATCGCTGCATCAAGGAGCACACCGATGAGGAGTGTACCCTGACCTGTGCTAGATGTCAGAAGAAGACGGAGCACAGGTCACGTGATTACTGGTTTGGAGATCAATCTTCACAGACACTCATAGACTGGCCACGTCCAACAGCGGATGCAGGCGCGACGTGTCAACATGGCAGCTGCGCGGATCTCCAGGGACGACGGAGGGCGGCGATCGCGCACTGTGACGATTGCGAAATGTACCTCTGCCTGGCGCATTCTGCAGCCCATGCTCTGCAACGACAATACCGCGAGCATTGCTTCATCATGGTGGATGTTGGTATTGGAAGAGGCCACGGCGGCTCGGTCCTGACCTGCATGGACCATCCCGACGAGTACCTGACACGTTTCTGCTGCTGGTGCAAGGAGGCATTCTGCAGCAAACCCTGCCACGACCGTCACATGGTAAAATGGTCCCACGACCTCCCGCACGACACAGATTACTACTCACCCATAGTGTGGGAGTTGGCGGAAGCAGCTCAGTTTCTCCGTCAGTCCCTATGCAAGACTGATGAGTCTCACCATGCTTCACACAGCTACTATTCCTGTTTGAAGCAGGATCTCGTGAACTGCGCAAGAAGCCAGGAGGTGCTGGATGGCAAGGTGCTAAAAATCAGCAACTACATCGAAGAGGCGTTCACGGAACACCACGAGCGACTGCGTAGAACGGAGAAACGGTTCCGAGATGACCTGGATCAGATGTACTGGCGCGAGTGCAAGCAGCCGTTCGGCCAAGACGAGAGAAGAGAGATGACCATGGAAGGTCTGCGGTGCTTGAAGATTGTCCGCTTCTTGCAGCGTGACCTTGACGACGCAGCCGTAGTCCAAGTCGGTGCAACGCTCTGGGAACACATGGATCGCAGGAAGGGAATCCTTAGGGAGCTTCAACAAAATGCGCATCATAAATTTTGCAGTTCTCCTACGCCGGAACAAATGACAGTTTCAATGCTCTCCTGCTATGGCGATGAAGGGCTGCAGGCGCTTGTACGCAGGCACGTCGACGAAGGTCGCTTGCTCAGTCATAAACTACCGCCGGAAGACAAACTGCCGATCATGGAAGACACCAGGTACACATCTCCAATTCAGCTTGCACCCAATTTTGATGACAGTCTAGAAAATTCGCTCGGGGCTGTAGAATCACCAGAAGACGACGGCGTTGTGTATAGAAGTCTCATGCCTCAGGAACTAACCTTCGATTCCACGAAGTCTTCCAGGTCTCAGAACATCGTACTAAGCCAGAGTAAAAAGACGGCAACTGCCCGCACCACCCGAGCAGCAAAACTCCGATCCGTCAGGGCCAATTTCATCATCAGCAAGACCTGGAACCTGAAGTTAACGATCTGTATTCGAGAAGCAAGCAAGCCATTGATGATTGGAATTGCAGATGAAGACTTGGTCGTGAACGAGGACAATAGCTGGAGTCACGGATCCTCGTTCTGCGGCTGGTCCAGTGTCTTTC